CCACCCATCCAACAAGTCTCTAAATAGTCAGCTGTCCGTTGTCGCAGAAAAGATCTTGACTGCTCTGCTGTAGTTTCATAGCGCTCACCCATTACCGACGCCGTCAAATAGTCATCTAATTTATCTTATTACCACAAGCTTGCGTAAACTCGCGCGTCTGAACGTCTAATAAGAACACCAACAATTATATTCATCGTCTCCCCCCCGGCTTAAGACCAAACGGTGGTGGCGGAGGCGGAGCCCTTTGAGGCGTTCCCTGAAGTGACAAAGAAGACAGATCTAAAGGCACGGTCGTGCCAGTAGACGATCCGGATGGATATGTCTTTACTGAAGAGTTGAAAGAGGATGGTGGTGGAAAGTCAGAAGAGGGATGGAAAGTCCAGCGGCCTTCTGTCGTTGATGGTTCTTGAGATGTAATTGCCACAGCTGAAAGAAAATTAGCAAACGTTAGCAACGTTTCATAATTCGGATAATGATATACTGTCTGATCATACTGACGACAATGATTCGATTCTCATACGCACGCAATTCACAAATCATCATTGATCATTACAACGCCATAGAAAACTTACATCTTGTACTCACAACCCTACCAAGAGTTCGCGTACCATCACTACCTATTCCCGTATTCGAAATTGGCCTAGTTCTTTCTACTACAGTCCGAGGACGCTGCGGTGGAGGTGGCGGAGATTGTGTCCTCGTCGTTGGTCTTGCTGGTGGCGGTGGCGGCAACTTACCCGCCACAGAAGTTTTTTTTGGCAATGTTAACGGAGGCTTCTTCGATATAGGAGGCGGCGGCGGTTTCTTCCCAATCGGTGGAGCGGTATTCCTCGCCGGTAGCGGGGGTGTTGAAGAGGAATTCGAAGATCGTGATGATGGTAATGATCGGGCTATACTTTCTGCTATGGCCTCCTTGTTTGACTTGGTTGATGCGGAGGAATGTAATCGGGATGGAAGTGCGGGCGGGGGCGCGGCTAAAGCAGTTGCAAGTGGTTTACCGACATTTCGAGATGGTAGTGTTGGTGGAGCGCCTCCACGTCTACCTGGCACAGGAGGTAATGCGAAACCTAGATAGATTTAACATGATTTACGATTAGCGATTGAACTACGAATAAAGGGCAAAACGGAAAATAAGATAATTACCAGCGCCATTCCTAACACCTCCAGAAGAGCCGACAGAAGTTTTTCCTATTTTATACGTAACATAGAACAATTGACAGTAAGAATAAGAAGAATTTCTGAGAGAGGTGTCTCCAGCGTAAGAGTTGCGAGATGACTCGATATAAGCAAACTGCGGTAGTTTAGTTAATATTGTAACGAGTAGTCAGGCTCATCCAAGTTTCAGTAAATCCACGTCTTTCACTGCCAGCACGAAAGTTACAAGTCTCACCTTCTATGACAGGTGCAGATCGATCGTTCGTCGTTGCTTTTTTCAACTTCCTTCCCTTTTGAATGTCTGCCAGCAGAGCGTTTCGTCCACTGGAAGACTGTGATTTGTTACCTCCAGATGGTGGGGGTGGTGGGGGTGGAGGAGCGGGCATATTTAAAGAGAAATTTTTAATGATGGAAATCTTGAGAAATACCGTCGTTTAGTATCAATATTTATTTATCTCAAACAATGACGTCATAGAAGCTTCCGTAGTACCAAGCTTTTCGTATTTCTTGGCTATTATTCTTTATCAGCGTGAATAGAGGAATAAAAAGTAATCGCAGACAAAGCAAATAACGGTTCGAAAGCTGACATTTGTTAGCACTTCATTGGCAGTTTGATTAATATTCAAATGGGAATGCGCCTAATAAGGCGGAAGTAGGAAGTGACAAATATAGAAACGCTAACATCATTGAATGTATCAAAAATGTTGCGTGTTTTTTTATTTATGTTATCCAATAATAAACCATCCTCTAAAAAGTGTTTATTAGTTTGATACGAACAATATCTTTGAACGTAACTGCCTGTAGAGTATATTGAAACTACTACGTATTGAAAGAAAATCTTTACTCTCGTAACGTTTGTCACATGCCAAGTTATCTCTTATGGTAAAGAGGTCAATCTGTGATCAAATCATAAGCTATTGCGCTAAACCTTGGTGAGTACTTGGCATAATAGCAAACATTTAATTCATGTATAAATGATTTGCATTCATCTAAAGGGTTGCACTTTTTTCAATTTTAAGAATGCTCAATGCAACTACTCGAATGTTTATTTCTATCTGAAAGCATGCGGTAAGGAAGCATTATATACATTCTGGAATAAAATGGTTTAGCGTTTATGCTTTGCGTATCTAGAAAAGTCCTATGAGATATAATTTTATCCTAATGTTCGGAAGCGCAAGGCATAGCGTAAATTAAAATGTAACGTAACAGTCAAATCGGATTATTGACTAACAGCCAAGACATCCTGAATCAGCGGAACAGTTGCGTTTCGGCTATAACCATTGCTGAATGTGAACTCTTAATTATTCAGACTTTAAAACGAATAAAGTGGATGACCTTGAGTCGATATGTCGAACCAAACATTATAAATAGTAATAGTAGGTTCTAACCCGAATTAGTTTATGTACTAGATTAAGTTGAGTTCCAGTAAATAGCTTTTGCCGTTTATTTTACATTGTCTAATTGGTTAGGACTCTAACTTCCAATAGCGTGCTAAGATTGAGTTTTAATAGATAAAAAAGGTTACTCGCAAATTTTTAAAGAATTAGCGAAAGTTGAATTAAAGTATGGAAATCGCAAAAGTGGAAACGCATTTGCGGGTGGGAGTATTAGACTTTTAAAAACATGTCCGAATTGTGTTGTCGTAGTTTAGTATTTCGATATTCGTGTATCCTGCCAGCTTATTGGTGTAAGTCAATCTTATTATTATACCAGTTAAGGATTTGTTTGTTTAATATCAAGGGACCCATGATCTGGTCGCAAACAAAGCCGCGGCAGCATCATTTCTCCATTTAGAAATAAGATCGTATCGCCATTGTGGGACTTCATTATTGACGGCATGAACACTTCTCCCACGTGTTAAGTGTCTTATTTCCTTAAATACGTAACGGTTTAAATTTAGACTGACTCGCATTCTTTGGTAAGTATTCATACATCCACCCAGGATAAACAATTGTTTCGAGAATAGATTATTTGAAGCCCTCACTTTTTATATATTGTCCAAGTTTTCATTCACCGAAAAACACACTGGCTATGAATTAGTTGTTGCAATATAGAATAGCGGTATTAAAATTCAAATAACATATGCGAAGAGATGTATGCCATTATTTTTGACATAAACGGCTTATATAAGAAGTCATTACGGTTCAAATCAATAAATTTTTTTGCGCAAAATAACCTCAATACAAAACAATCGACAACCAACGTTGAGAAAGTTAGCTGTGTTTGCCTTGAAATAGATAATCCGGCTTTCGAAGAAAAGTCGATGCCTAATTGAAATAAAGGGAGGCAATCATTTCGCCGACAAATGTTCACCAACATTATCTCAATAATATTCTTTTTAGGTAATTAATTGTCGGCGAAATGATACGGTCCCGAAATAAAGGCTATGAATCTCCGACATTGGAATTGAGGCTAGAAAAAAATGGAAAAAATTTTTAAATTAAAAGTATAATATTATATTAATACCTTTATATTAATTAATATATTAAATCACTTTTTTGTTGTGTAATATACTGTTATCAAGATATTGTTGCTTGATCAATTTTCACTTTAACATTCATTAAAATTATTCTGCTTTTTCAAGCAAATTGAGGATATATCAAAGATTATTATAAAAGATTTGTCAGAATCAATTATTTGTTCCTTATCATGAGACTTTTCTCCAACTGTATTTTATGTAATTATAAATTATATTTTTATACAATAAAATTTTCTAACAACCAGTTAAAGTTTTAATGGCTTCAAATGTCTGGGATATGGTTATGCTACTAAAACAAGTCTTGTTAAATTTCAACAGTCAGTCATTTGTTTTCGTAAATTGTAACAAAAACAAGGCGAGCATTTGACATTACTACTTCTATTATTTCACTTCACAAAGCCATGACTCATAATTAATTCGAATTGGACAATCTCAACCATATTTAGCATCTACAATATCACATGACATTTCAGAAGAATCTTACCAAACGCGCAGTTACATATTCATTCTTGACAAAATATAAAACATGCCGGCCGCACAAAATCTCCCAGATAACATTGACGAACTTCTTGCTATTGTTCAGACAAGCAATGACGAGCAATCCAGAAAAGCCTTATTCGCAACGCTTCGAACGATTCCTTCCCTAATGTTAGCTTCACCAACGGCAGATGAGCAAGATCCGCTTGACCTTCTGGATCCAGCAGATAATACTCTAGCATACGCGTATATTCTGTTAGTAAGAACGAATGTGGATAGTTTTTAGCATTTTCATTGCCTCGAGGAAAATTAATTCTTTTTAATGCATAGAGTTGCCCGGTGCTATGGAGATCGGTTAGAAGTTTCGCGTATGCTGCATTACATTCTCAAGTTTCTTAATTCGTTTGATCCGGAAGAAGCACGACACGCACCAGAGAAACGTTAGTTCAATTATATACTTTTGTCGTCTTTTTATTGTTGACTATGTCTTATCCCGTTTATTCACAGTCGCTCAGGTTGCTCAGGCGCTATCAAGGATAGCGACTAGTGTAGGAAAGGTACGAAGAAAAATTGAATCCTATTACCACGCAGTCTTTTTTCTTTCCAATCTGACTGATTACATGTTAGAGTCTCATAACAGTGAAACCATTAGAAATAGCAATTACTAGATTTGCTCCTAGTCCCAAGCATCTAACAAACATCCATCAGATGTTTATAAAGGTATGGTTATCCAATACGCGAATGTCTTGTTTAGCATCGAACATCTGTTAATTGGTATTTGACGAATAAATTTTATTGATTTAGGAATGTCTTCTGTCGAAATGCTATAAAGCAGCATTACCAATTTTGGACAATGATATCACAGAGATTGATGTTCATGTCAGTTGGATGTTTTATTGATGGCGAGAAATAGTTGATGTCAATTGTGTATTGGAATCCCGTTTGACTTAACAAGAAATTCTCTCTTCTAATGGCATCCAGGAAATGGGAATTCATTACACTGATCATCTTCTTTATCATTATTACGGCGGAATGATATACATTGGGTTAAAGAAATTTGAGCGAGCACTGGACTTTTTCAAGTTGGTAAGGATAATACAACCGGAAGCTATTACATTGTGGGTATCTGCTATATAATAATATTAACTGCTCACTGTTCTGCATAGGTAATCTCTGCTCCCGCTAATTTATCGAGCATGATTCAAATCGAAGCTTATAAGAAATTTGTATTAGTTTCTCTCTTGTTACACGGGAAGGTTGGTCAAATAAAGAGTGTTGAAGAGATTGCTTGCATTATTAGTCATGAGAGTATTGTGCGTAATTCAAGTCGGTCATAATAACAGAAGCGTTGTGGGATTGCTTTTTATTAGATTGCGACTCTTCCGAAATACACGGCACAAGCTGTATTTCGCTCAGTCAAAAACTTCTGTCAATCATACACAGATTTTGCCAACGCATTTGAGGGCTTGAAAGTCAAGCGAGTGCGATCGGAATTTTTAAAGTGCTGTGATGCATTCAAGAAGGTGGATTGATAATTGTAAAGAAGCAGAAACAGTTATTATACACTATTTATTCATGCAATGATAACTAATCTAACTAATTGTTTTACAGGACAAGAACTTCGGGCTTGCAAAACAAACCCTGGATGCATTATATCGAAGAAACATTCAACAGCTAACACAAACATATTTGACATTGTCTCTGGTTGACATTGCAGATGCAGTTGGTCTTGAAGGGCCGGATGCTGCCAAACAAGCAGAAAAATATGTGTTGAAAATGGTAATCAAATGCATTAACGATTTTTAATCTAGATGAATTAAAGCTAACCATTTTCCTTTCGATAGATTGAATCCAAGGAAATTTTCGCCACCATTAGCCATACTCACCAGAATGGCATGGTGTCTTTCCATGACAACCCAGATAAATTTGATGCGCAGGAAACTATCGCCCAGTTGGAACAACAAATTGTAAACGCAGCTAGTGTAAACGAACGCGTCATAAGAACGGACAGAATGATCGGTTGTAGTAAAGAGTATCTTAGTAGAGTAAGTGTTTATATTTCAGACATGCGAAAGACTGTTTGTATCTTGATAAATAATAACCTCTCGACCTATATCGAACAGAACCAGCATCCGAGTGCTAGTGGAGTTGGATCTGGACTTGGTACTGTAGACGATACTGAATTATTATCGGGCTTTGATTCGTTGGCTGATGAAGGACGATATTTTGCATAGTACCATTGAAAGAAACTGGTGTATCGATATGATTTATGATTAATGCTTTTGAATTAAATAAAGTTGACATTCCTAGTGTAGATCATAATTTATACGATTGGTTGCTAGAATAATCAAATTGAAAAACCAATCAAATTGTGAACACAAATTTCTACAAAAAAAATTGTCAATTTTTCCCTGGACTCGATAAAGCCACTCGCTTATCTTGAGGAGTATCTATCACACAGAATATATAATTATTTAAAGGAAACTCCTCACAATGGTGAGATCTATGCCCACTGCAACTTAAATTAATTGCTTATGCCATAATGAAGACTGACTCTCTGTTCACGCTCTGTCATCAACCTCGCCGACTAGGTCATGCGCCTTGACATTAAGGTAACTACTCTATGCTGTCGCTAGAACAACTGTTCAAAGTTTTTCATACTGTTTAACGCTTGTCTGTTTAGAAATGATCTATAAACTGATTGATCCGTTAATATTATTGTTTGCAGCGAAAGCTTTTATCTCGGTCAGATCGCGTAAAATGTGTAGACTTCCACCCAACAGAGCCATGGCTTCTTGCCAGCTTGTACAATGGCAAAGTTTATGTCTGGAATTATGAAACTGAGGTATAGGCAAACGTTCGCACATTAGTCCTCGGTGAATACTCTTTGGTAGTCTAGCAGAATATTACAGCATTAAACTATGAACACAAGTTGGATAGATGTAGATTTAATATCGCATGGATATTTTTTTTTTCAAATTGTCTGGAAAAGGAGATTTATTCGAATTGAAATACTATGATCAGTGACTTAACAGATCCTGTGCAAAATTATCGTTGAATGATGTAGGCTCTGGTGAAGACATTTGAGGTGACGGATGTCCCGGGTATTGTATACGAAATTTTTATTGTAATATATACTAAGAGGGAGACGATGGGGAGAAAATCAAGTATTGGGTGATTTTGACTTGAAACAAGATAGCGAGTTGGCCTTAACGATCTGCTACTTTATTAGTTCGGGCGGCAAAATTTATTGCCAGAAAAAACTGGATCGTTACTGGATCAGATGATATGCAGCTTCGCGTTTTCAATTACAATACACACGAGAAAGTAACAAGTTTGGAAGCTCATCCCGATTATATTAGATGCATCGCTGTTCATCCTACACAACCCTTCATATTAACTGGCTCCGATGACATGACTATTAAATTATGGGATTGGGAGAAAGGATGGAAATGTGTCCAGGTATATATTAGCATTTTGAGACGTGTCAGTATGACAAAATAATGATTAATTCCGCCACGTCTAATTGCTAGGCTTTCGAAGGGCATACTCATTATGTCATGAATATCAACTTCAATCCTAAAGATTCCAACACTTTTGCGTCAGCTTGCTTGGACCGCACCATCAAAGTTTGGTCTCTCGGATCTTCTGTCGCCAATTTCACTCTCGAAGGACACGATAAAGGTGTTAATTGGGTTGATTACTACCACGGAGGAGAAAAGCCATACCTCGTATCGGCTGCTGATGATAAAACTGTCAAGATCTGGGACTATCAAAACAAGACCTGTGTTCAAACGTTGGAAGGTCATACCCAGAATGCAGCATTCGCTTGTTTTCATCCCGAGCTACCTATAATCATATCCGGTAGTGAAGATGGAACGGTTAAGATTTGGCATTCTAATACCTATCGCCTGGAAAACACTCTCAATTACGGTCTAGAACGTGCTTGGACTGTTGCATACCAAAAAGGAAACAATAACGTTGCCTTTGGTTATGACGAAGGTGCCGTTTGTGTTAAGGTTTGTTGTAATTTCTCGTAAAAAATGCGATCGCTATGTATAAGTGTATTTATTAATTACTGCTTATGAATGTTCTTCTAGCTCGGACGAGAAGAGCCGGCAGTAAGCATGGACAATTCAGGGAAAATTATATGGGCCAAACATAACGAAATTCAAACTACTAATGTGAAAGCTGGTTTTGGTAAGACATATTCAAAAAAGGAAAATTTTTACTATTAGGAGCTATCAGGGTACAAAAGCTCTGGGAGACATTGTTTAATCCGCGCATATGTATACGCGTGTCTTGCAGACGAGAATATCAAGGATGGGGAACGATTACCTTTGCCAGTAAAGGATCTTGGAAGTTGTGAGGTATATCCACAGACTTTACAACACAGCCCAAATGGAAGGTTAGAATATTACTAACACATTGTTGTTATTATTTAAAGCCTATTTAATCTAACCTCTACGATGATACACAGGTTCGTCGTTGTTTGTGGTGACGGTGAATATATAATATATACGGCATTGGCATGGCGAAACAAGGGCTTTGGCAATGGGTTGGAATTCGTGTGGGCTCTTGATTCAAACGAGTAAGCATTTTGGCTGTCTTGAACCAATTTTACACATTTACCTTCATCTAATCTCAATATTTCAAGATATGCCGTACGAGAATCTTCGACAAAGGTTAAACTGTATAAGAATTTTAAGGAGAGACCTGGAATTTTGAAGATAAAGTTCACCGCTGAAGGCATATTTGGTGGCACGTTGTTGGGTATTAGAAGTTCTACCTTTTTAAATCTTCATGACTGGGAAACCGGTAACATTGTTCGGAGGATTGACGTGATTCCAAAGCACGTAAGTTTTACGTGACAATATTTGAAGTGTCATGCTACTCTTGATAACTCGATTCATTTGAATAGGTTTATTGGTCGGATAGCGGAGATCTGGTGACCATTGCTTGTGAAGATGCGTATTATGTCTTACGGTTTAATAGAGTAGCTTATAATAAGTTCATAGAAAGCGGGGGCGTAGTTGCTGAAGAAGGGGTTGAAGAAGCGTTTGAGTTTGTTACCGAAGTTCCCGAAAGGTATAGTGGTTTGATTGAGTCGTTCGTGCCATCGGAGTGTTTACCAGCCGACACACTAATTTTATAATTGTCTTTGTTGTTAGCATAAAAACAGGGACATGGGTTGGAGATTGCTTTATTTATACAAATGCTGTTAATCGACTTAATTATCTTGTTGGTGCACAAACCTTTACCATAAGTCATTTTGATACGTATGTTCGGTGGACGAATGAAGTTGTTTTGAATATGAATTATGCAAATACTCAGAATTTTGCTTATACTTAGACCAATGTACTTGTTGGGCTATATTCCGAAAGACAACCGAATATATCTGGCGGACAAAGTATGTGCTTATTACGTTTATCTCGTAAGCACTGTTGTATTCTGCTTAATGTGACTTATTATCAGCTTATGTTTCGTGCTATTTTAGGACGTCAATGTTTACAGTTATGCACTGTCATTGACCGTAATCGAATATCAAACTGCTATCCTGCGAGGTGATCTTGAATCGGCCACGGAACTCTTGCCAGATGTGCCTGAAGATCAAAGGAATAGAATAGCACGCTTTTTGGAGAGTCAAGGTAAGGCGTGGAAATGTCGCCAGCGTTCTGCACAGAAACATGGCATTACGTTTTACTAACTTGCCGTCACCAAAAATAATTAGAATTAAAGGAACTCGCCTTGGAAGTTTCAACTGATATCGAACATAAATTTGAGCTCGCCATACAGTTGAATAAGCTTGACGTGGCCGTTGAAATTGCACGAGAAGTTGACAACGAATCAAGATGGAAAGCTGTTGCCGATTCAGCTCTAAATACATGGAAGGTTAGATACCCTCCTTTTTGTGTCCTGAATGATGGATGTTAGTAATCATTGTCTTATTTATTTATAGTTCTCTCTAGCCGAAGAATGTTTGAAGAAAGCCAAGGATCTAGGCGGACTACTTTTATTGTATACTGCATCCGGAAACGCAAAGGCGATCAAGGAACTTGCAGAGACAGCTGGTGAATAATCTAGAAGTTGTACAAGTGTTGAATAATTCTCAGAATCTATGTATTGATATAACATATTCTCTCGCAGTTGCCGACGGCAAGAACAACATAGCATTCACTTGCTACTTGCAACTTGGTTCACTAGAAGAATGTGTCGATTTGTTGATAAAGACAAAGCGTCTTTCGGAAGCTGCAGCATTTGCAAGAACCTATCTTCCGAGGTTTGTTCTCTATCAGATGAATAGTATTCTATTTATTGATTTATGACTAAAAATCCATTGTAAAATCTTCAGTCAAGTTTCAAGGGTAGTCAAACTGTGGCGCGAGAGTCTTGAAAAGGCCAACAAGAAAAAAGCTGCCGAAGCATTAGCTGATCCAGCAGAATATGAGAATTTATTCCCGGACTTCAAATATGTATGTACGATTATTGAAAATATTACACGTGAACTGTGTACTTAACTGATTTCACTAGGCATTGATTGCTGAAGAACATGCAAAGAAGGCACGAAATAATATTGTTCCAGCAAACGCGTACTCAGATTATAAGGACGTTGAAGTTGACGTTATTGCAGGTATTGCACAACCGCTCGCTATCTGTTTCACCAAAGAACTCGGTACAAGAACACTAAGAATTTATTTTACCAGAAATTAAGGAAAAATATCCTGATGGTGTTCAATCTTCTAATCCTGCATCAATTAATACTAAACTCAATATCGCGAGGAGAACTATAAACGGCGAGGTGGAAGACGATGTAAGAAACCCCACTACCGAACTAATTTACTTGCAAGCATGATATTATACGTATTAATGTTGTTTTATCGTAACAGGTATTATCATCAGTTACGTCTGTAGACGATGATCGCATCAGCGTTGCAGATAATATGAGCATGCTTAGCATGGAAGGTAGGTAGTTACGCCAGTTGGAAGTACTGCTACTGCATTCGAATTACTAAACTGCTCTCTGACTTGACAGTGAACACCACCGGCACCAATTCAGTCAAGGTAATCTAATGGAATCGACTACCCAGAAACTACTATCCATTTATTAATACTCTATTTCAAATTTCAGGACGTTGACTTTGACGATGCCTCATCTGAGCAGGAACGGCCGACGACAGGTGATGATAAAGACTGAATTACTCTCCTCCGATACGTACATGCCCAAGGACTATCACGTGAGGTCGTCTTATTTTAATTAGTAATGAAAAGAAATATTGTTTTTTAGATTTGTAGGTAACATAGTTCTTGTATATCTATTAGAAATAAAGGCTTATAAATGTGTTGCTAGTGCAACAAAACCAGGGCGAAAGTGAACTGTAGCTGAATATTATCTTTTGACATCACATATCATCCGATGTATAAAATGCTCAGAGGAATTCAAGTTATTAGTCTACGCGTTCAACTACAGGAGGACTACTGTATGCGGTGGTCGGAAGAATTCTCCAGTATAAAAGTTACATTAGCGGACATTATTTAATAAAAATTGTATAGCAAAGAGCTCAGTCTTTGATATCCTATTCTGATAACCAAAGCTATCGCCAAATTACGACACAGCGTTAATGACTGGCTGAGTCGATAGTGCGGATTTTGTGATAAATATACTAGAAACCAATGTGGCTTCCCATAAGCGATAAAGAGTACCATCCATATCTGTGAAAAGAAAAAAGCCAACAGGACCTTTACTGAGAACGCACCCCATGCGTGAACTTTATAGGGGTGTTTTACCATAGTCTTACTTGGAGGTCGAGTGCCACTTTTGTAAAATACTTTCCGAGTATTTCGAAACATCTGGAATGTAGTTTCATCAGAAAATATGACCTTGTTCCAATTTTGTTTCTTGTATTTTATGGCGAACGCTACTCGATTTTGTTTATGAGTGGCTGTAAGGAGAGGAATAGATTTTGGAACGCGTGCCAGCCTCCCACAAAGAGGTTATTATCATATAACGTTGATTAAGCGAGGGTTTAGTCATTGTGTGTTGAATGTAAAGTTAGTAAACGTGTACAAAAATCAAAACAAAATGCAATCGCGTTATCTAACAAGTTTTGTTAACACGTGTTATACAGCTTTCTTTTAATATTAACTGGTTGCATATGACAAAGAAAATCGATTTTTATTATGATACATTTTATTCTCATTACTTTTTTCGCACTGTATTAATAGCAATGGGTGTCAAATAGGAAATATTCGTTTCCGTACATCCGGACGGTCAATGTCTAAATTTCAGTAGAGTTTGGGAAAGATCACATTAGACTCTTTGCCAAGCGTTCGAGGAGTATTAGCATCGGCTGGCCATCCATGAGCAAACTTGGCATGTTCCCATGTACGCTCGTTTGGCTTTACACCGAGTTTAGACAGTAGCTGCGACATTTTCGCTGGCATTACTGGTTGTAAGAGTATTCCGGCTATACGTGCTGATTCCGCTGCATAGAATAGCGAGGTGTTTAGCCTGTCCTGCTGTGATGGATCGTTAACAAGTTTCCACGGTTCGTATATGGTAAAGTGTCGATTTGCCTATGAGAATGAAAGTTAGATAATCCTATTGAGGATAAGTATCCGTGCAGACATTGAAAAGTTTGTGTGTTAACCTCGGCAAGAGTATCGAATATTGCAGCCAGCCCTTTGTTTAGGTTGAGTCTTTGATAAAGTTCTGCTACGATATCTGGTATAATGAACAAACGTTTAAATTAGACCTGTGGGAATACAAATTTAATATTTTGCCTATCCTGCTCGATAATCTTATTCTCACGCGACCATATGATATACTCGACAATCACGTGATTATTTCAATTTTAATTGACCAATAATATTGTATCGTAATATAATTACATCTTATTCTTGTTCTATAACTTTTTACACAGACATTAGTTTTAAAATTGGACCGGTAACTTTGTAGAGCTTACTGTGAAGAACAAAAGTACCGGTCAGATTTTAAAAATAATATCTGTGTAAAAAGTTGAAGGAATTTAAAGATGCCTAATAATTCGAATGGTCCGTACCATATTTAGTTCGATCTACAAATCGTTTTAACCAATTATATGCTACTAATACGTTGTTTCAATTTTCGATCAAACTTATGGATTCTAAAACCCTATAACTTTTTACACAGATGTTATTTTTAAAATTTGACCGTAACTTTGTAGAGCTTACCGTGAAGAACAAAAGTACCGGTCAGATTTTAAAAATAATATCTGCGTAAAAGGTTGAAGGAGTTTAAAGATACCTAATATGTGATTGTCGAGTATAGACGTTCTGCACCATATAAGATATTTACCAGGTAAACTTTGTAGTTTTTCCTGTAGAGCAAGATCATCGGAATTAGAACTGTTAATACTTGGAGTTTGCGGTACTAGCAGTTTTGGATTGAGTGTTTTTGAAGCGCTCCGTGATATTAAATTACCCAACTGTCCAACCAGGTCTTTTTTATAGCGGAATTGGATATTTTGCTCGGAATAATCTGTTTGAAATATAGAAAAAAAATTCGCATAATTATCATATAGTAGTACGGTATGTATCAATCTGCTACAACGCTTAAACGTTTCGATACTTTCCGCCATCGTCAGCAACGCCTCCATCGCGTATCAAGTAATATCGAACAGCATCAACTCCATATTTATCCATAGCCTGCAACGGGTCGATCACGTTTCCTAAACTCTTGGACATTTTCATCTTGTTCATTGTCCAATGAGAATGAGCAAATATTTGTCTCGGAAGCGGTAAATTCGCCGCCATCAGAAAAGCAGGCCAATAGACAGCGTGAAATCTGAAAAGAGCAATAAATGCGATATGTAGATATATATTGCGAACCATATATCAAGTTTCTAAACAGCATGAAACATACCTCGATATATCTTTTCCAATGATGTGGACGTGTGGTGGCCATCCGTAATCGGCATCAGACACAGAATTATCAGGCCATGGATATCCCGTAACCGTAAGATAATTAATTAATGCATCGAGCCATACGTATATTGTCTGTTCGGGGTCATCCGGCACGCGGATACCCCAATTTAATCGAGATCTCGATCGAGACACTGACAAATCAGACAAGCCAGTTTGAATCCACGATTTGACCTCATTATATCGATTTCTTGGCACAACAACTATTAATTGATATAAAATCATAAGTCTCGCCTTTTCATATTATTAACAGTAATTCGTACGCATCTGTACGCATTACCGTTTGATTCTGTGTCTAACCAATGCAATAGTCTCTCCCGAAAGTCAGACAATCGAAACTTGTAATTCTCTTCCCTGGTCCATTCTACTCTTTTGCCTGTTTCCGACGCAATCTATAGTAATCATAAAATTATATACATGGTTATTACCATTAACGAAACGCACGGGGAAAAATCGTTCTTGAACGTACCTTGTAGCTTTCACCCGACTTGCTATCGGTTACATCAGATACTTCCGATCCCGTATAGAAGGCCTCATCTGAAATGGAATACCAACCCTCATGGATACCCTTATAAATAAACCCATTCTCTACAAGACGTTGCTTAAAAATCGTACGATATATTTGAATACCCGACATATGGGCATTACGCGTACATCCATTACATAGTGTCTATCAAGAGTTATAATCACCCAGAAGAAACAAACAGCTTCTTCATGTCTCTTCTCAGTCGTACGAATGAAGGTTGTATACTGGATATTCGCCGCATCAAACAAGTCCTATTCCGAGCAGATCACACGTAAGTTTTGAAGCTAAATGCAAAAAAACACTCCGTTTTTTTTTTATCTACACTTTTACTCATCACGTAAGATATTTTACCCGAAATCTCTGTGATGCTTCGTCACAAAACACTTGCGTGGACTTTTTTGCTTTCGCGGCAGCTTGTTGGATCTGGTGATACGAGTCACCGCTTACCAATCAACACATATAGACCACATCAATCCAAAGGAACCACGACCAATCAACATGCCTTCAGTCCATGTTCATCAGTACCAGTGCTGAGTATTACTTTGTGTCCGCGTAGTTCAAAAAACCGCTTCAAACAGTCAGCCACAAGAGCTGAATGCAAATGTCCTATATGTGGTTCTATTGATAGAGAATTTGCAATTGGGAAATTCTTGATTGTTTTTCTAAATGTATATTTTCGAAACATTACCGTGATGAAAATAACGTACTATCATTCACATAGAATATTGGTGTCGTAATATATAATTGTTTGTTCTTTGCCGGCACGTTCAACCACCTTCTTGAACACGTTCGAAAACCATATGACCAAGAATCAAATTGGGCTTTGCCATTAACGATAAGCGAATCCGGCAGGTGTCTCGGGAGCGCTCTGTTAAATGCCCTGTTACCATAATTCCATACACATTCCATAAAGGTTTTTGTTATCTGTGTTAGTACAAAAAAAATTACAAACAAAAATTTGTGTTCAATGTATTTCATGCGGTGGTTTCACGAATGCCTCGAAAAGACAACGGTTTACAAGGAATGTAACCATAAACTATATGTTTGACCGCCAAGGAAAAAACATTTACTAAGCGTTTTACGTTCCATGTTCGGAATGCAGAGATCTCTCGATGAGATTGTTACAACCTTTAGAAAAACATAGTGCTTTAAAGCACAGACAGTCTGTGCTTTATTCGTGTACAAACATTAGTAGACTATTAACCATCATAATATCGATATACACAGTGATCTTGGCGGTATTTCTGCCGATCGCACATTGCCAACAGACATTTGTACTGACCGATGGTATAAAGACCAACGGAGCTATAGTTTCTGGGAATACAAATTACTATCATTTATCAGCACAGTTGCAGAGTAGGTCAGGAGGACTCGAGGAAGTATTTGCACGGGCGATTGATGAAAATGATGAACTGCGGAAATTGTATCCCAAGTGGGATTCACTCAAGAAATCTGCATTCACTTCTCGATCACTAGTCAGTCGACAAAATCCGTCTCAAAAGGTTGCTTATGTATCTGTCTCTATATGTTCCCCGACTGCAGATGCAATACAAGTGTATGTTGACAGTAGCCAGTTTCCTGAAAAGAATCAAAGTGCCATGATACCAATAGATGAAGGAGCTGCACTTACCATACATCCAGCTGATGGGTTACGTGTCGCAATTAAAGCTATTGATCCTACTCGTAAGACGAATTATACTTATGAGATTGGTATTTCGACAGCAGGTGAATGAAAAAAAAAAAGAGTTGAATTATCTTTCTGTTCTATGGATCGAATCATAACGTATTAATACCTACGAATATCGATATTAGGGTATCTGTACTACTTTAATGATACAGAAGGGTTTCATCTGGACGATACTGACTCGGCTAACGCTTTGCTAACAACAAGAGTGGCTGACGCGACGAGTAATTTGGATAACTATGGAGCAAGCCTAGCCACCGGATCTCTGAACAATCTTTCGCGCTCACTTTGTGCTATCAAGCAGTTGACTGTAGGAAACGTCCTGCAAAGGAACGCGACAAATCGAGGCAACGGACAAGTATCATTTTATTTTCGGGAGTTGAATGCTCGTTCACAATATGTCGCTTTCTTGTATTCGAATGAAGGAAACACAGAGACGCTTTGGGCGCCGACTTTTTTGCAAACGAAACCTGGTAAGCCTTAACTTATGATAAAATTACTATAACGATCACGCCCACGCGATGAATGTTCTGGCATTTAATCATTGTGACAAAGTCAATGATTTATTAAAAGAATTGTAAGAACGACATTGGCTACAACATCGCGGTTTCATCATATTGTTGCCACTGCAACTCGATATCTTGCTAACATGATTTTTGCTCATTTACACTGAATAGTTAGTGGTTGCACCGTGATATATAATCTTCCCTTTTGTGACAAAGTGGCGTACGCAGTGCCGACAGGAGCTGGAAAAACCCCCAACGAGATTGCGGCAATCTACGACAACCTTGCCAATAACACGTTCCAGAACTTTACAGAGAATCTTCGTCAATTTCCATGCAATGAATCCTCAAACCAAGCCTCTTACTCTCTAGTACGTAACTGTGATGACTGTCGTGCAGCATACAAAGACTGGCTCTGCGCGATTACGATACCTCGTTGTACGGATAGCAATGCGGTAAATGGAGTGTTAAGGCAAGGACGACCTCGCAATGTTGTGATAGAGCAAGCTCAAACAACTTTAAACTTTGGCGATTATAAAGAAATATCACCATGCATAGACTTGTGTTATAATGTGGTGCGGTCTTGTCCGGCTTTGTTCGGTTTTGGATGCCCTGAGAATAAGACACTTTTTAGTAGTTATGGGGAGAGGTTAAAGAACGGATCTTTTACCAATGGGACAAACCTTTTATGCAATCCAATGGATCTTGATTGGAGTTTCACTTCTGGGGTTAATAGTCTAGTATGGCAATGGATAACGTTGTTTACTATAATAGTGGCGGTTGCAATGTTGTTATAATATGTACATCTTTGATTAATTGTCTGTAAACATCTACCGACTGTAATAGCAAATATCACGTAAAAAAAAAGGTATATTTATGCTATTGGTGTTTACACATATAGCGCATTCTCCTTTGGACGCATCTCCTATAATCTAATATTCGACGCTGTTATTGAAACCTAATATTAAGAGAAAATGGATAAAATCTTCAAAAGCTTGGCTTGGTCGTCTTCATACTCTTTCTGGATAAGTCACTGCGTGCTGAATGACACCGTTTCATATGATAGACTTTCGTTTGAGAATGTGTAGAGATGCTATTAACGAATCTTCTTACCTGCTTCGTTGAATGTTAACCTTCTCTTTACGGAATGGTAGTACGAAATCTCAACGCTTTTGCAAAAAACGAAATTTGTGTTAGATGTGATGTGAATATCCGTATCTCACTTAGTCAATCTGGTTATAGCGAATTCGACGGATCCGAACAAAATCTTCCTTGTCCAAAAATTCCTTATAACCCAAAGTTTTGTTATAACGGAGATTATAATATTTCGTCATTGAACGCTCCATTTGAGACTGTACTTTTCTCGTCTAATGTATTGTAAGATTAAAGAAAAAAGCAATGAATTAACAGAATTAGGAAATCTCATCACTAAGCAAAAAAAAGAGAAATAAACAATTGTCAATACATATTAATATATTATGAGAATGTCATTTTCCATACATTTGGTTGAAATTTCCTTCAAGACACTCAATAGTCTCCTTGCTGTTACTTCATCGCTCTCTTTCCGCGTCATTTCCAAGAGTGCAGTTAACGATATTGGATCAGCGGACGAATAAATCATTTGTTGTAATGTCAGATTTTTTATTAAATTCGCTATAGGCAGATTATTTACTTAAAATGATTAGACAAGCGCTTGGTACATTTGATTCTCACACCATGCATGACTAAGAGAATTCAAGATGTAACGTACATTAGTAGCGTGCAGCCTTTCCTGAATTGTTTAGATGATTACTCTATATACGTAAGACAATACGGTCGCAAAAACGTTCTTTATGAAACAATAAACTAAACTAGATGACTCAAGATTCGGGCAAGTGGGTAGGGAAGAAGAAACTTACTGATGGGTTACAAGCTTGTAAAAATAGCCTTTTCTGACTTTGGAGTCTAATTACCTATGCTGAACCAAACGAATTTCATATTTAGAAGCAGATGTTGACTTTCATACTAGGTACACACCACTCTATGTCCCCCCAACGCCCGAGTCACAAAGTCGTGAGTTTTATTTTAATTAACGCTTACACGAACATTTGGTCTGCTCGACGGCAATCTATTTACCGATTGATCAAAATCACTGATGAAGAACAGAGACTACGATTAAAGCCTGAAATTGACAAATTGATTCAAAAAAGTTGTTAACTTTGTGTTTTAACGTTCAGATCGACATCAAGGCATAATGCTGTACTGGAAGAAATCAACAAAATACTCAAATTATTGGTTCCGTCTATACTTTAGTAACAGTATTGGGAGAAACTTTTCAACGTAATAGCATGTTCTGAAACATAACACACAGCTCTCGCATACGTCCTATTTTTATTACTAAATTACGTCGATTTTTGGTTCGAATAAGAAAACCCACCATTTGTAAATCCAAAAGAACAGACGTTGTTAAAGCAATTGATCAGGAAGTTATTATTCAAAAAATCAGAAACCTGATATACAGACATGCGCCTTTCAGGTAAAACATTCGAGAAATTTCTACAAAACTCCATCATATACGTGGCTTATCGGTAGTAAATAATCTCACTAATCGCCTCCTGACCGCCCGTGAGAATTACAACACCCAGATATCACAGAGTACGCGTGGCTTATCGATAAACAACTGGTCGCTATCTCCTGGCTACCCCGTAAAATTACGACATTAAGCTATCACAGAGATCAGTTTAATTAAAATTATACGCGTGGCTTATCAATAAAACTGGTCGCTACCTGTTAGAATACAAATTTGATGACTCGGAAAAAACTTTTTCTATGCGCACTCCAAAACGTTAGATTTTGTCAATAAGATGTCATTACTATCATGGAGATAAATTACGCGCGCGGAATTATTATCCCATTGATTGCTACTTTCTGACTGCCGTGGGAGTAAAGACTTTTTATTGCTGTACTACACTGATATCAATATGCTTTTCACGCCCCTTGCTGCCGCCCGTGGGGAGTGAAAAACTTTTTGTTGATCTTTTGGTAAAATATTTTCTTTTCTGTTTGAATCCAAAGATAAAAGATATTGGGCTCACGTACTTCACTGATACCTCATGCTTTTCACACCCCTTGTTGCATAGATAACGTCATTATTTGTCATCTAACGCGTCTATTAACATATATATACCCCCCCCTCTCTCCCCTTCCCCCATCAAAGCACAAATGCAAAGTTTAATAATATACAACAACAATCATCTAGCGCACACTATATACGCACGAAACAAGTTTCGGAACAACGAACCCTTAACATTCAACAACGACAACACGGTTTATCGACCGCTTGCCCAAGAAAAACTTCTATATAACTCAAACCTCCGCTGTCCAACAACCTCTCTTCCACTAAAGCGCAAAAACAAACGTTATTTACCAAGTTGAACTACAACGAACAATCCTTTGCCGCACTCTATATTACGCACGTACGACAAGTTTGCTACAACTCACGGACAAGCCTCTGTACGATACGGCGCAGTTTATCGACAACTAATTAATGAAGTCCAAATACACGCCTCCCATAGTACGTCCGGATCGCGATAACCACACTATGAAGAAAACAAGGCATGTGGATGGTTTGACATGTTTTGTTTGGGTGGGGCCGGGGTGTTTATTCAATTGAAGTATAGTTTTTGGATTGCCGCGCATGCCCGTTGAACCAGATTTCGCTCAAACTCACTCCCATTAATAGACGTTTGGCATGTTTCTTTGGGACCTGCATGTCCCTTGACATCGTACAAACTCCCTCTCATAGTTTGGCATGTTCTGGTTGAGCGTTGTGCGTCATATCTATTAAAGTATAGTTCTTTGGGTAGCCTCGATGTTTTTCAAACATGATTCGTTCACTCACTCCCTTGCTAGGAATTCGTTCTTACCCCCCTCTCTTTTTTTAAAGATTTAGACAATCGAATAATGCAAACGCTTTTCTCGATAGCACGGTTAAGAAAAGAAGCAGTTATTACTAAAGAGACGGCTACAGAAATTACTCGAGGATGAAAGTAGTAATTATGTTTATACACAGTGTCAATCCAAAGTTTGTTTTGTTAATCGAATTTGTTGAAGTAAAATGTCTTTTTATAAATATCTTTGTTAAAGTGAGAGTAAATTTGACTTTGTATATAGTGATACATATAATTTGGTAATAATACATCACATATAAATTTTACAGAAAAGTTGCTTACTTAGGGTATTTTAATATGTATATTAATATAGTTTGAATAAATGGGTCGCGTTGTAACCGATTTGACGTCATATGCGGTTTATCTAATTTTCTTCCTTTTTAGTATTAGTGCGAACATTCAAATATTACAGCGTAATCAAAAAAGGAAATATTTGCTTCACTTGTTTTATTTCCAATCTAGCACACGGATTTTTATGGGTCTAGACAATTATTCCCAATAAATTTTTTGGCACTAAGATAATTTCAGCAAGAATTGTCGGAAATAATTGTCGGAGAAGTAAACTATCGGGGAAATAAACTATCGGGGAAATAAACTATCGGGGAAATAAACGCCTCCCGATTTTTATCGCGTATCAAAAGTGCTAGCATCTATCTATGCACCCGCATAACCTGCGATAACCTCTTCTTCATTCTTCATTTAGGAATAAAATTATAATCAATAAATTGTCTTGGTACGGGTTTCTAATTCGTCGCTAATATTTTCACCATTTGCTAGTTTTTCTGCTCCCATTGCTATTTGAAAAATGTTACATTAGTGTCAATGACAGTGAAAACCTCTACATTTGACGGGTGGAATGGACGATGTAATAGATGTGTTTGCTATTATGGTGCCAGCCACTTGCTAAGTAATAGATTCATTCAAGCACTTGTTCCTGTTTTCAGACTACTTACCAGAGTTGGATGGTAACGTTTTTCTTACGGTACAAACTGTTATATTCTCATTGAACGGTATGCTTCATTTGTCTCGATGATCTCAAGAGTCGTAAATTTGCCGAACATCCTACCACTGCAGAAAAAATCGCTCACGATAAACAAACTCATAGCTTTGCTATCTTTCTTGAAACTCGTACATATATTTCAGCCAAATCCGAGCGCGTCAGGCTTTTTATTCACGACCTAATGTCTATCGGTAGACATTAATCCTAAACAAGTTATCGTTATCAAGTGAACGTGAACCGCTATTCTCTACCGATAAAATTGAGCAAGAAAATGTCGACAAAACAGTCGCTTGATAACTGCTTCTGTCCATGTTATTATGCGAGAAGGGGCACTTCTAAATTTTGAGTAGGAGGGAGAGTAAACGTTGGCGATAGGAGCGTAAGTTTTGCAAAAACCAGAGTTAACATTAATTGTACAGCTTTGCGTAAAGCAAGGCTACGATCGTTTTTATCCAGATTGAACAAGTAAAGTAATTTCAACAGCATTCCGGAAACACTGCTTCGCTTATCTGATGTGTTATGTGTTGCTTTACGATCATTACATTATTTTATCTTAATCCTTAGTAGTCAATAACGGACATAAACTTCTGGTTTTGAGCTAACAATAATTAGAAGCATATTTGTTTGTTCTAAGAATGGTGAATGTCTAAATCGGATATTTTCGACAAAAGTCTCTGGGCAAAAGCAAGGTAATAGATACACGTATACGGCCAACTCATTGGCACGATTAATTTGCCATTGAGTGCATTCAGAAGACTCAAAACCCCTTAACCGTGGCAGTACACGTCCCAATTGAAAATGCATTGATACACAAATTGGAAACATCAAAGAAATACAAGGAGGTGCGTTATCTGTGAGAAAAACGCCAATATTACAATATTAAGATAAGCGCACACACTAACACAAAATGATTGTCGCACAGACATTGAGACGAGTTACAGGAGTACGAATTGCGGGAATGCTTGAACTTTAAACCAGATTAAGAAACTTGTGTCATCGTATTAATTATATCATCAAATACGGGCGTTGACCATTGATGTCGATATTCGCTAGCTCTTTGATTGTCCATTGACCTTTTCAACTATCTGACGCCGTGAAAGTTTAATAGCTTATTCCATTTAATAGTAATTGGGACGGTATAACATGGTGTGCCTTCAATGGGGCGTCGATAAGAAGGAAAATTGTTACGTCTACCTCTTACCGTTTTCGTAACTCGTTAATATTATTCTTGCAGGCGCAATAATTAAGCTCGATAATCGTTCCCGATGTGTTAACCTTTTTTATACATCAAGTGCGTTGCACGTATGCAAGTAATCTTTGAACAAAGCATTGTCTTTGGTAATTCTATACTTAAGGTCGGTAACTTTTATGGAATAGCAATGACACACTGACTTTGTCCATTTATTTATACAAATAGAAGAATACAAAAATAGCCTTTTCTTCACTCATTGATGACTCGCACCCATTATATTTCTACTTTCAGTAGCTGCTCACAAAAATGCATTCATTCACCGCAGTGGTGCAACTTCGTATCTACTGAGAAGCAATTCAATCTGAAACAAATACCTAGCATTGAAAGAAGAGTTGGGAAAATATATTCCTAAGAGAATCATCGCGTCACCGAAATTCGGTTTCGGTCAAAGTTTAAATTAAATATTGATGTAAATTAATACTGTTGTCAATGTCTCTTTCTTGCTTGCTTGCTTTCTTTGTTTGTTTATAAACACTAGTGTATATTTGTTATAAGCATATGCTGACTAGTTAATTAACAAACAAAACGTGTAACCTAATTTTTTATGCGCAAGTCACAAGCCCTTCAGTTTGGGTATTCGGATACTGATAAGCTAAGATGTTACCATGTCATAATGCGTATATTTGAAAACCGACCCAGAATTTGCACCAATTAAATGCCATATACCAATTGTGGGCTATGCCAATGAACCAAAAAACCTGTACTGTATACCTTGTGTATGGGTCAAAAAAAAAGAATTAGAAGTGGCATAGAAGGTAACAAAGAATTATGTAACCTTCCACGCTAATATTCTTTCTTCTTGTCGTGTACAAAACCGCAATGAGGTTTGAGTGGTAATCAAATACAGTAATTAGGGTGAACAAAATAGTATATAAAGAGTTCTAAACGAGGAAAGGTGGTAGTTAAAGATCAGTTAAGCGATCTCTACCAAACAAACTTTCCCTTCACCTCAAACCCTTGACTCCTCCCATCCATCTCTCCATGGCATCGCGACAAAAAGTAACCACGGCGTGTGTCGGATGCCAAGCCCGACGTATACGATGCACGGGCGTTTCTCCGTGTGCTGGCTGTATCGGATACGGCCAGCAGTGCACCTTCCAGCCGCCAACGAAAAAACGTGGTCCACAAAAGGACTACAAGCGGCAGCTTTCCGCGACACTAGACCGTATCGAAGAGATACTGGTCAAAATGCAGTGTCTGGTCGAAAGCAGGAACAAAAAACGGGACGCGAGGCAGGGTAAGAACATTATAACACATTATTATAAATATAATTAGAATACAATATCGATAGTCACAAATTAAACCGCAATCAAACGTACAAAGCGAGTTGCTGACGATGAATACCTTTTGTTTACAGATACGGCATCCACCGCCACCGTCGCCGCCGCTGCAACTTCGGTTGCAAACACGATGGCTTCTAACGATGAAGCCATCCCGCCGTCATTGAATAATGACGTCGATAGTTATCTCCGCAACAATTACTATGGTGAGTGCGCAAATTTTAATAATGATAATAATGAACCTTTTCTTTATCAACGTCTCAATATTAATATGACCTCAATTTACAATCGGCAGATTATCCCGAGTCGCATTTTTTTCGGGAATAAGCGGAGCAAATAGAAATGCGTAGTCGTTATTTTTGTTTAATTAGTGTTTAATTGTGTTTAATAATATTTTCCTGTAGATGAAAAATAATAAATTTGTTTTAAATATCAAATTCATATTATACACATTCACGATTGAATACTAAGTAAAGAGTAAGCAAACGCAATTTGTAATAATAATGCCTGTTATGGTTATCTTTGACTGTCATGATATATTTAATGCAAACAAAAAAGTAGAGAGTTAGACGATAATTATGATATGATAGAACTCCATAACTGCGAAGCTACGCCTCTACATACCCATCTTCTTACCCATCTCCACCATCATCCGCTTCAGAAAAGAGATTTACTCTGCAGCTCCCTAAACGGATTTACGAATATAAATAACAACCCAAAAAGCTCAGGACGACCGAGAATGACAATAAAGAAGCGAGACAGATGACTTTATCCACACCCTCCAACATCGACTTACATCAATCAAACCCGACAATCTCAGAAAAAAATAAATATGAAATTTGTCACCAACCACCCATTAAGTTCATTTGGAAATAGCCATAAGCATCACAAGCGTCGCCACAAAATTTGATATATCATGTGATAATAAGATCAAATCAAGATTTTATTAAAACTAATAATAAATGCGCTATTGCCCTCAAAATCGGGTTTAAAGATCTTTCCAAGTTTTCAATAAAACTATCTATCCACTCCCCTCTATCCTCCAATACATATCCCTATTAATTCATTAACAGTAAGTCTTTGGCTACCAATTCTTCTCTCAATATTTTGTTGCTAGAATATCGCTTTGTAGCTATCTAATTTATAGCTGTTTCTGAAACCACACTTCACTGGTCCCATCCCTTTGGTCGTGCCATTGACCATTGATAGCCTTTGTATGATTAATATTCAAAACGTTCTTCTGAAACGTATCATCATTCTAATGCTGTAAGTAAAAGCACGAATAGTGCGTTAATCAGATAAAGTGTGTCTAATATTAAGACATTTCAGCGTTCAAACATCGTATTCGAATTTCAAATAGATATTATAATAAAGCCCGGCCTGAATTAACAGACAAATGTGCATGTAGCGTTAAAACTGATGTGTCAATTGTAAAACCAATTATGAAACTTTGTGATCTGATATCACATGACGCCAAATTCGTGGCGGCGCTTGTAGTGGCACGCTTCTATTATGGCATAAGGTTTTTTTCATCATCTTAAGATTACATATGTTTTATCGACTAGCTATTGCGTTAACGATTTGTAGAAACTTTTCAATTTGGTCTTTCTAATAAAAGATTTGAAAGATAAGTTTGGCAGGTCAAACGTGCTTGGGCACGTTGTTGCACAAGTTGTCATATCATCTTGTCAAACGGAATGCTAATAATATTAATTAGACTTAAATTCAGAATATTTGCATATTACTTGCTGAATAATAGTTTGCAGCACCATTCAAAAGTACCAGGATTCTCTTAATTAATCGTATAAACACTTTTGAAAAATTTTCCGCGTATAGTGCATCTATATCATAAACGCTGATTATCTGTAAAACTTTAATTCAATCGAATGTTTTCCAAACAGCCAATGGTTTGTCTCTAAAGTACATGAAAACATATTAAGGACCGCATGTCGGCATAAAATTCCATGTCGTTTAATCGATTCGCATAGTTTAATTTATCATTACGGTAATATTTATGTCAATTATTTTTTCTCATTTTTTTCGGTTTTCTTATCTGCTTTTTACGATGTAAACTTTTTTTTTTGTTTTTTGGTCGTAAAATTTTTCACCATGTCTCGTTTAGATACGTGGTCGAATTAAAGAAAATGGTTACTATACTTGGTGATAAAGTACATGATGTTACCATGTCACCTGGGCATTTTTCCTTAGCTATAGCATGACTAAAAATGTGTTGAGGTATAAATTTTTTAGGTTTGTGTTCGAACATCTCGGATGTAAAATATTTATTGTTTGAATGAACAGGGTTTATGATATACTGTATGCAGGAAAATTTTCCAGATCAGGTTTTCCAGTTATCTTAAACAATGCTGTAATCTATTTTGACTGTTCGTAATCGTAGGAAAATAGAGAAACTCTACATAGTGTCAATAGGTACGGTACGCTGTAAAGTCATCAACAAATAAAGAGATAACTTACAAACAGGGTAGAAGACGATACGAATATGAGAAGTAAGTTTAAAGAAAGCAAAGTTTATCGTATCGCAGTTATTCACAATAGTCCAATGAATCATGCAAAATTGGCAAGTGTATCCAAGGCAACGAAATTATTTGCCGGTTTTTAGACGACGCAACGTCGAGGAGACATGGGAAGCTTACACTCAATTACGACATTCGAGCATCAAACTTACTCGGACAGAATTTAGACACGTAATAAAGTTAATTGTTGAGCAACCAACTCGATCAAGTAAGTTTTTCAATTATCTACTAGACATTTATTCAGACATGGAAATTCCTCTTCTCAAATACGACCATAACTGCATTCGCTCCTTTACAACCAGTTTCTATCCGCCTTGACATCGAAATTGTCATGGTCGTTCTTCGTCGGATGGAGAGTGCAAAGATTATGCCCAATAGTGTATTGTATAATACCTTGGTTAACGTCGCAGCTCATCTACTTTCGCCAGCAACCGAGTTTCTGGCCATCCGGATTACTACCCAATGTTAAAAGGCTTACTTCGATTACACATGCTTATGCGATAAAAACGGTCTGGCTCGAGTTGTAAAGATGGTAGAAATGAACGAGAAAATGAGTATTGATCTTTATGTATTGAATACTGTCATATGAATTTTCGTGGGGCGGAATGACATTGAGTCGGGTGTTATAATTTATGAGGCAATGATTAATAATAAAGTAGGAAAGGCCAAGAAGAAAAAGAATAACAAGTTTACGCCTCCTTGCATATTTCTCGCAACGGCATTGGAGGTTGGGAATGTTGATCTATCGAAACATAAAGTCGCTCGATGCGTCTAATTATATAATATTATACTTAAGCATGTAGTCAAGGCTTTGTACATTGCCGATAGCGTGAACTTAAAAAATAATTAAGACACAAAGCAACGAAAATACAAATCGGAAAAGATCTCACAGATATGTCATTTAAAAAGGCATACGACTCTTGTTTGATTATTTTCTGCAATGAAATAAAACATTAAACCAGATTTTAAGACACATAACCAGGCACATTTATTATTAGCAGAGATAAAAGAGGCAAATGACGTTCTACGCGTTACGGAAGTATAGACATTTATAACACGTGGTTATTGCGGCAAAGCAGTAATTAAAAAACTAAAATGTCAAAAAAACCCCCCCTTTACTATTAGTTTTTGTGTTTATTATTGTGAGCAATATCAGTAATGCTATTAACCGCTGCAACTTTCAAATATGAATCCTGTAGTCGCATGCGAACTCTTCATTATCGTCTCATACCGAGTTCGTTGCCCGTTCAGGATAATTGCGTTGAAATTCAAGTTGTCTTTGCAATCTGTAAAAAAAAAAAATAAGCCCATAATTAGCGAATTGAGAACGCGAAAGACATAGACCGAGGTTCATGATATTTCATGACTTTTGACATGTCAGAAAAAGTCGCGGTCAACTCAAAGTCACACGGGAAAATAGCGACTCGAGAAAAAATCGTAAATTGGTTTCATGTATTTGGTTTTTATATACACAATCCTATATTAACATGTTGCAATGGCATTATTATTATGCAACAATGCTAGAGCAACAACCTTCCAATGAGAAACAACACAACATTATATCAGCTTGAATTACGTGATTTTTTTATAATTGCTGATTAAAGCCACGAAAACACCTATTCATATAAATAGCCTTTCCTACATAATTTTCAATTCAATTATGTCAACATTCTTGCAGAAATTGGAACTACTGCCATGGTGACATCAGCTTTCAAAGGATTAAACAAGATTTTTAGCAATAGGCCAAGAAGGAATATTGCAATGCTGTGCAAGCTGAGCTTTGGCTGAGATATTTGTAAGAGTTTAGAATTTCTCCCTTGATATAAATGCAAAAGGTCCTTCTACTCAATAAAAATTTCAATATTTCCTTTCTAGCTCTCCTCACACTATACATTCTTTATTTGTGTTGTATTGGTATTGATGAGTTCTGTTCAGAGTCAACAGAAACAGTGATATTCAAGTCCTTTTCTTGTCACTTCTCTCCCATTAGGTTCTTGTCTGCCAAGTTGGTCGGATAACCGTAGTTAGACAATACAGTTCTATATTATCGGATCTCCTATCAACTTTTCTTTATTGTACGAAGAGAAGTATTAGTATTTCATTTGGTGATTGATTGCCGCTAGGCCAGTAATGGACGTTGGGCCTCCCGCGATTTAACCATTGTTACGGATAACAAATTTGAAAATGTCTGACTATCCAAATGTTTATACTCGAAAGCGTTTGCCAAATTGGTGGCTAACAGTAAGTACAACGTATTTGCAATAAACGACGCGTTTCTTGTTTATTATTATGCAAAATGTTTTCGATTTTCTGAGGACCTTTCTAACACACTGTATAACGATCCTGCTGGGCGACTCGACGAGATTGGATACTCAAACAGAGACTAGTTCATAAAAAAGTTTTCGGACTCGATGCACTCAACGTTGAAGAGCATTGGAATAACTTACAAGAACGAGTGGAACGTTTCACCAGACAGTAACCGTTGTCATTTTTGTTTATGCTGTTCAAGAATACTCACAATGTAAGTTGTCAACATCGTTAATTTAAACTGCCATGAACGTAACGTGTTTATCGGCTTTGGAAGACTCGTTTGCGATTCTTGTTCAAATTTACTTAGAATAAAAACACCGAGCATAAGAATGTTATTCCATAACTACCTTCCAAGTTATTACAGGACAGGGCAACAGAATTATTACGCGTTTCTTGGCCAACTTTCTATAATATAATACAATATAAATGCTTGTTTTCGTCATTTTTCGCAATTTCACAGAGTGATCAAGCTTGTTGCTAATGGCATTAAAGGATAGCTTGCAACAACGTTTTGTAATCGCTTTAACCATTACTAATCATAAAAGCCATTTGCATATTGCAAAGAACTTGCTGTCTCGAGACGTGAGAGCCACGAACACTATGTATTAGTATCCAAATTTCTGCGAGATAAATTATCAGTAGTAAATTAGCTTGCATATTTATTCAAGTATATTTGTTTGGTTATGTCGATGTCTCTAAACTCAGACTGCTTGTTGATAGGCGTTTAACGCAATAACCAGCGGGAGTGTCTTTGTAATTCCGACCGATGGTGCTTGAATATGACATGATAATGAACGCTACTGAAATTCTTCGCAATATAATGGAGGATAAGTTTCTCGCGATGGTCGATCCGCCATGTGACTAACACATACACAGGAACCTTATGTTTCAGCTGCTATGATATAGGAAACGGTGAACGTTACTGTTACCAAAAGAACAGAGAGACTCAGTTCTTTGTAACACAGACTAATCATATGATTCATAACATGATATAAATTACCAAATACAGTGCAACTATCATCTAATTGAGTGCGTTCCGCTATACTCTCACGTCGTTCTGTGCTCCACTGTGTATTAATGAGTCATAAATGTCATATCAATCATGTCATTTCATAGAAAATCTAAAACGGTCAATGGAGCACAAATAAGAACTATTAATATTATTATCGTTATTGTTACTATTACTATTACTATTATTAATACGAATACAGTACGTAAAACCGTATCCGAAATAGTTTTGCCGAAATTGCCGATCTTGATGATCTGCCGAAAATGCCATTGCCTAACCGCATGTATACAAGCAGTACAAGTGGTGCAAGATAACAAAGTTCGAACATCAATACGTCAGAGGTAACGTTAAATGAATATGATTATCAAATCAATATTATGCGCAGTAGTATCATTGAACTTTATCAGTTTTAAGATTTTCAAACAGCATTTATGTTGCAAGTCTATTTGATATTAATTATATTTATTAACTACACTATCTTTGATGATGCCGTCGCCTCATCAAAGATAGAAAATAAATATTACAAAGCCCTTGATTATGTAATCACCGTTTCACTATCTCCTGCTACTGTTCATTTATTCATTGCAAACGTCACACTCTCACCCAATTCCCATACCTCGTTCAGTCCATCACAATGTCCCCATCTGTGTCTGGCTCACGCTTAGTTAATACTCGTACATCATCAATATCCATTGGTTTAGTTACGACGAGGGCAGGAGTAGACATATTCGTCGACATGGGCGACGACACGCCGCTTCCACCTCGTGGCGATGATATTAGGGTTTGTCTTTCGGATGGCATTGGCATCCGTGACATATTGTTCAGTACCTCCTCCATTATCACTCCTCTGGGTTTATTACTTTTGCTAGATTTATGGGCGCGCTCACTTCTTACCGCCGATTTTTTCTTATCGCTTCTACTCTTCCGCAACGAACTATTTCCGAGTCCGTTTGAATGATAACTACGTTCGTGACGACGACCACCTTCATCATCAGAATCGGAAAGTTCCGTATCTGGAACTATGCGCATATTACGCTGTCTCACTGAAGGGGAGTGATGAAACGGATATTTAGTTATAATTTAATGAGTAAGAGAAAGATCGACACAGTTACAACTTTGTAAAGTAGTAATTATATCGACATATTATATATAACTCACGTGATGTCCGTGTGTCAGGCTCATCATCGTCTTCGTCGGTATCGTAATTTCGGGGAACCTCTAAAATGCCAAACTCAAACGCGTCATACACATAATAATTAACGTTTCTGTCTCAGAGAATGCACGTACTTACCTTGCATCTGGACACTCGGGGCAAATGGGATATTCCGTAGATTCTCAAATACCTTCGCTCTTCATACAGAAACCATTAAAATTAAACGACTGGATGAGGTAAGGAACAAGCATAATCCATGCAAATTCGATAGATTACAATTAACCCTATCACTTTCTAACTGTTTGACTCTTATTGCACTCACTTCATTTCGGCAAGATAAGCCGGACTATTGAGGTTCTCCATGTTATTCGCTGGTACATCCAATTTATATTCTGGGCCATAATACTCAAGAAAGTTGTTGTATGGTAAATCTAGACAGATATTAGTCTAGTTAATACACAATCACTTTATGCGTTTATTTAATCCGCTCGTCTCCACTACTAACCTTCACTAAGTTTCTCTCCCGCAAATAATCCAGTCTCATACGTCCACACGCGTGCTACATTCCTTATTGTGTATCCTCCACCACCGACTACCAATATGGGTAGATTGAAACTTTTCACAAATTCCGCACATTCAGCGTGACCTTTCGACGATAGATTAAAGCAGCCCAGTCGATCGCCAGCGAGTGAATCTGCACCACATTGGAGTACTACTGCGCCAGGGCGATACCAGTCCATTATATGTTGAACAACCTTAAATACGCAGCAACAAAGTTGTGAGTATGTAACCATGCTCACTGATATGATGCAATATCAAATATTTGTCCATGTTACGTACGGGTCTAAACACGTTTTGAAAACTCCAATCGTCCATTCCGTCTTTTAGCGGAAAATTCACTGCATAGTATTTCCCTTTACCAATGCCAATATCCTGTAAGTGATAGTAGTTACAAAAAAAGGAATGACATAATATTAATTTCATAATCGATACCGAAAGTAGCATTATTATGAAACTTTGCAATACTTACGGAGATGTCTCCGGTGCCAGGGAAGAATTGTCCAAATTTATGAAATGAACAGGTCATGACTCTATCTGTTGTATAAAACGCCTCTTCCACTCCGTCACCATGATGAATATCAATATCAATATAAAGAACGCGTTGATGATATCTAAAAGATTTTTAATATTGTTATTCTGAAATACTGTATTATCACGTGATTTGAATTTAAAGGGGGGGAAAACTGACCTTAATAATTCCAATATGCCTAGTACAATGTCATTGACGTAACAAAATCCAGATGCTTCAAATCTTTTGGCGTGATGTAAGCCACCTGACCAATTTATGGCGATGTCCGACTCCCCACTATTCAGTTTGTTTGCGGCGTCTATATCAGAGAAGATGTTGAAATGGAACGCGTGAAAAGTTAATGAAAATAACGGTTGAAAGTGCATATGATCTCATATAACAATCATTATACTTACCGATCGAACCGCCAGCCGATATCGAACAGAATTCAAAGAGACCTTCGAAAATCGGACAATCTTCTCCCACATTATCTGTACGTAATTAAAGGATAAATAATACTAAGTAGTCTGCTATCGAGTGCTTTGATACTGGTCTGTGCTCTTTGGTTATACACAGTTATCCTAGTAATTCACGCCTTTAAATAATGCTATTTTGACATACATCGCGTCTGCTGTTGTGATAATTCTTCCACATTCTCGGGTGTCACTCTACATAGAAAATCTATATACTCATCGGTATGAAAGCGCGTCATTTGCCGTGCTGTCGCCCGTCTAGGACTCTGTCAACAAAATAAAACTCGTCAGTATTGGTTCATGGAGCGTTGGTAGAACGTTTGCGTTCAGTGAATATCAGAAAAAGTAAAGATGTCGGAACGATTCGTACTATAACCTCCATTTTCCTAAACAGGCCATAATTAACAACCAGATCGTGCACCATACGCATTCTGTGTGGTTTCATAGGATGACCTAGAGTACATAACAGAATGTGATGTCATTATGTTACGCGAATCACCAAACGCAAAGACTCGACTTTGACAAGAAAGAAGCTAGCTTATATTCACCTGGTCCATACGTATAGTTGCCAACATCCTCTGCGGGCAGACAAATCGGTTACTCATATGGCATATAAATCGTATTATAAATAATATGTACTACTCGTAAAACACTCTCTCACCGTCATAAAAATAAGAAACGCGCTTTTTGGACACGTTGGATAATGCAGACATATTTGACTTGTTGCGGTAATGGATGAAGTGCAATTCCACGGAACAACGGGGAAAGGGCTGTGACGATTGATGCTTTTTGTCACCACAGCAAATAATGCAGGATCCTATATTTGGCCGAACACATGTCACTTAAATGGAAAGTGATCAACATTTTTACATTTCACGGAGCTCTGAATGCGACTATTTATACTGTGGATATGTAATGTCTGCATCTTTATAAGATATTCACTGCTGACTTGAGAATATCTCTACTGAACATACTAATAAATATAATAACTCCGCACGCCCACTGCTACTTGCGAGTTGAGGTTGCAGTTTACTTAACGTTTTAAACATGACAAATCTCCTCGCTCATTGCTGGAATGGCGGGCGAACTCAAACGTCAGAACGTTTCATTTATGTTAATAAGCCGCTACCAACAAATTTCACAGATAGCAACGGACGTCCGACACAGAAATTCGTTAGTAACAAAGTTACTACCTCAAAATATACCTTGTTTACATTTATACCAAAGAACTTGTATGAACAGTTTCGTCGTGTAGCAAACTTCTTTTTCCTGTTGATTGCAGTATTACAATTTTTTCCAGAATTTGTTACGATATACCCATTAGTTGCGGCCTTGCCTATGATTATTATCACTAGCATAACAGCATTCAAGGATGGGTTTGAGGATTTCAAGCGTCATGTTACCGACAAAACTCTAAATAACCGGACGACTCAGACACTCGGCAACTGGAAGAACGTAAACAGCGACTCTAGCGAGACTTTGTTTGGTTCTATTAAAAAATGTTTTGGTCTTGGTAAAACAGTTAGTGATGGAGAAAGAGGGTCCCCTGAGTGGAAAGACACATTATGGAAAGACGTGCAAGTCGGAGATTTTCTCAGGTTAAAAGACGGCGACTTTATCCCAGCAGGTTAGTACTTTGTGATCGAAGCGGTATAATGCATCTGCATAGCATACACCATTTGTAATATAGTTTTACGTCTCTTTTTCTAATCACGCGTTTACCTATCCAGATTTAATTATCCTATCTACGTCCGACTCAAATTCTCTCTGCTATGTAGAGACAAAGAATCTGGATGGTGAAACTAATTTAAAAATACGGCAGGCTGTGCCAGAGACATGTGATCTGCAAACACCAAAAGACTGCGCAGAGATCAAGTTTCACGTTAAGTGTGAGGCTCCGAAGGCTGATCTGATCAATCACAATGCAACACTAATATGGTCTGCTGAACGTGATGAAACACCTATCAATTTAAACACAATGCTATTGAGGGGTTGTGTGTTAAAGAATACAGAGTGGGTTATCGGCTTAGTGATATTTACTGGCAAAGACACAAAACTGGCCCTGAATTCAGGGGAGACTCCTTCTAAGCGAAGTCAGATCGAGAAACAGATGAACATACAAGTGTATGCATTTATGTTATTTCTATTATAGACCGTATACCGATCATAGCATATATCATTAACTATAACTTTTTTTTTGGTAGTTTGGTTAATCTAATAATCGTTGCGATAATGTGTATTGTATGTGCCATTGGAACGAAGGTCTGGGAACAATATTATGCCGACCGTGGTGATGCTGCTCCATTTTTAGCCAAAGAAAACTCTAGTTCCAGAGAGGCTGTGATCTCTTTCTGGTAATAGAAATTGTTATGATAGTTGTACTTATTTCATTACTCATCCATTAGCTAACACAAACTTGTGACTTATTACAGGAATGGGTTGATCACATTCCAAAATATAGTACCGATATCTTTATATTTATCTATAGAGTTCATAAAGTCAGTTCAAGCGTACTTCATCTATGCAGATGACGAAATGACGTACCAAGGGACATCTACGATTCCCAAAAACTGGAATTTATCGGATGATTTAGGTATTTAGTGATTGTCAAGCTGCTATCGCATACCATGCAAGTATTAATAAATGGTGAAACGTTTCCCGCTTTACAGGTCAAGTCGAGTACATTTTCTCAGACAAGACAGGAACGTTAACTAAAAACGTAATGGAATTCCGCAAGTGCTCAATAAACGACAAAATATACGCTGGAGATCCAATCGACGACAGTCAATCAACCGCGGATCCGGTGTCATCTAGCAGCAGTCAGGTCCATTCGGAACCGTCATCAACCGATAACTCGACAAACAAGAAAAGGGATTCCAAAAATTCTAAAAAAATTAACAAGAAACCAGAGACCAGACACTTTGGAGACAAAAATCTTATCGCAGACCTAAACTCTGGTCATTCAGAACACACAAGCATGATCAATGAATTCTTCACGCTCTTAGCAATATGTCATACTGTCTTAGTCACCACTAATAAAGAAGGAGAACAGCAGTACAAAGCGCAGTCCCCAGATGAAGCAGCCCTCGTAAAAGCTGCAAAAGATGTAGGTTATACCTTTAAAGCACGCGATACGAATAGTATTACTATTGTCACCCCAGACGGAGAAAAACAATTCGAGTTGCTTAACGTTTTGGAGTTTAACAGCACTCGTAAAAGAATGAGCATAATTGTACGAGAGCCCCAGAGTGGCAAAATAAAGTTGTATTGTAAAGGTGCGGACAGTATAATATTTGACCGGCTTAAGTTGGGTCAGGATTACATGGTTACAGGAGAACATCTTCAAGAATTTGCCAATGAAGGTGAGTTGCATATACATACATACATATATATATATGATTATCTTAGCGTCTGGATACCATCGCTCGGCAATCCTAACAATCTTCTATCTCAACTCCACAGGTCTTCGAACATTGTGTCTTGCCGTGAGGGATATTGATGCTTCATATTATGAAGAATGGAATGCAGACTATAAAGAAGCCATCGTTGCTACAACTAATCGTGACTCTCGCGTTGCGGTCGTTTCTGACCGAATAGAAAGAGATCTAGTTCTACTTGGCGCGACAGCAATAGAGGATCGTCTTCAAGATGGTGTACCCGAATGTATTGCCACTCTGAAGCGTGCAGGAATAAAGATATGGGTGCTGACAGGCGACAAATTAGAGACAGCAATTAGTATTGGATTCGCCACCTGTCTCTTAAACCATGACATGAATTTACTTGTTATTCGTGAAGGATCACGTGGTAGACCGAACGATATAGGTATATATGAACAGCTACGTAGTGCAGCAGAATTTTTCAAAGATGATCCTGAAATACAGAAAGCCTTGGAAGAAATGGAAGTTCCAGCATCAACCGAATCTACCGGTACACCGCGTCCATCTCTGTCAAATTTCCGTTCTATGAGTATGGGGGCAGATTCACTCTTCTCCATGCCTACTAGTCCGCGTAATGGTGGATATGCTCTTGTAATCGATGGGGTTGCACTGAAGCACGCATTAGAGAAGTGGAGACCCTTATTATTAAACTTGGCGTGCAAATGTAAAGGAGTCATATGTTGTCGAGTATCTCCTTTACAGAAAGCCGAGGTAGTGAATTTGGTGAAGCACGGTAAGGATGTCTTGACCTGTGCTATCGGAGATGGAGCAAATGATGTCAGTATGATACAGGTAATATGATCTCGAAAAATAATTTATGATGCATATTTGATGACACCGGCCAGTTATTTACTTCCAATGCTCCTTTATTTCCAGGCTGCTCATGTGGGAATTGGCGTTGTTGGTGAAGAGGGTCTACAAGCTGTTATGTCATCTGACTACGCGATAGCACAATTTCGTTTCCTCACTCGATTATTACTCGTACACGGACACTACGCATACATCAGGAACTCTTCGATGATTGTAAACTTCTTCTATAAGAACATGATAGGCGTCGGGGTACTCTTCTGGTTTCAATTCTTTTGCGGATATACAACAACAACAATATTCGAATTCACGTACATCCTGTTTTGGAATCTGTTTTTCACCTCGACTCCAGTATTTGCGATCGGTATATTTGATCGTGATGTTCCCGATAGAGTTGCTGTTCAAGTGCCCGAGTTATATAGATGGGGAATGGAGGAGAGATCCTTCACGTTGGCTAGATTCATCATGTATATGCTTGACAGTATATATCAGTCATTGGTATGCTTCTTTGTGCCATACTTTGCCTATCGATTAGGCAGTGTAAATACTTATGGTCGTCAACCTGACCTTTTGGAGATGGGTACGACAATGGCAGTTGCATGTGTTACCCAGGCTAATTTATTCGTAGGGTTCAATTTTAAGAATTGGACTGTGGTTCATCATATTGCAGTATGGGGATCCATTGCTCTGATGTATGTGTATGTTGCGATATATACTCTTCTACCAATCTCATTAGTGTATGGATATGATCTAGTTGTATACGGAGGGGCAACATTTTGGGCTTGCATAGCGCTGATAATAGTCATAGCGTTCCTTCCTCGATACGTCTACAGATACTATCAAAGGACATATTATCCAAGAGATGTGGACATTATCAGGGAAATGGTCAAGAAGTCACCGAATCATGACTTTACGCATGATGAACGAGTGAACCCGACTCTCAAGATGTCCAGAATCCCGACATCTGATACAATAATATCGTCTCAACGACCACCACAATCTGACAGTACAACATTTACACCTCGCCCCAGTTTTACAACTGATCGTACGATGCAGAATCAGTCGCGAACACCAGATTCTGCCATGCAATCCGAATTTCTCGTACAGGAGTTACAGGAAGGATGTATAATGGCCAATATGCAGACGGGAGAAGTAATTCCAATGCGTGGCTACGCATTTGCACAGGAAGCTGGCACCGGACGCATGATCATGGGTACATTACGGCGTAGGAAAACTAATCCAGCATTGGCTACTGCTGCTCGAAAAAACATGGCTAAGCCAAGTCCATTGCGACGTAACAGTTTGCCTACTGTTAGAGCATCGAAGGATATGACTAATGTTAGAGCATCGAGTGATATGTCAGATCTTTTAGATGGTGAGAAAATACGGATGGTGACGTTTACAGAGTCTGCAACAAGTAGTACTACCGCGACTGCGTACTCGTCACGTAGACAAAGTGAACTGGCGAGTGAATCAATAACCTTGGAACAATTATCTGGTGCTCAATCCGAAACGGCTGGTGGCACGGAACGGAGTGGAGTAGTTAATAATAATAATGGTATTGAAGCTAGAGTTCTTAATAGGGTTGTTGAAAATGTAAGTAGTGAAGATAATGTGCTTATCGAGGTGGTTGATAGTACTAGCAATGACGATAGTGTTTCTAGCCGAACAATTGATGACGTAAATAATGCTGACAACCGAGAGTCTGATGTGTAACTAACATTGGTGGGATAGTTCGTCAAACCTAATTTGAAATCTGTAGATACTAATTGTACTAGTTACGAGAAAAAATGTATTAATTGTTGTCATAATAGAGTTATTATGAGTCAAAAATCATTTGATCAAATTGAATGTTACACATGTTTGCTATCCCTTTGAAAATCGTATAGACAAAGGCCGAACAATGAAATGTATTACAAAATTAATAATGTTGTACATGAGCCCTGGATCAAAGGGTCTCTTTTGATTATCACAACAACGAATGGCTCATTGTATAGCTTATTTTGGAAGATGCAATTTCCATGCTATTTGTTAGGTAACAAAGGGTTAACGCAGGTAAATTTCACGTGGCAAAAAGGTAATATCGGCGTCGAATGAGTTTTCTTTAAAGAAACCAAACGAATGCCAAACAGCTATCGAATTAAGAATTCTCAAATAGCCATGTACTCGATCTCGTAGACTAAAATATCGCTGTTGCAAGCTCGTTGAGCACTGGGCAACTGGTTAATTAGTAAATTTTAACTGATAAAATATATAGATTGTCAACGTCAGATGAGGAGAAACAGCAGGCTTTATTGTACAGCTCTACTGTATACGTCATCGTTAAAATTTTAATATTAATTAGTATTATTAATAATAATCATGATTAGTTACGTGGGCGTACAGTATATGAGTCAGACAGATGAGGCCGCATATTAATATGACAAAAACTAAAGGGTAAAGCCGCAAAATCTATTCCCGAGTTTAAAAAACACATAAATTATCCCAAAGTATTGTTGCATGTCAGTTTGGAATTTATGTCCATTCCGAATGGACATATTAATATTAATATGTTAGATTGGAATTTACGTCCATTCCGAATGGACATATGTCAGATAGAATTTATGCCCATGCTGAACTGACATATATGTCAGATGGGAATAATAAAAACAATTAGGTAAGAGTATTATAAAAGTAATAACAATATATATGGCGATGGGTGAACGCTGTTATCATTCCGTTTATCCTTAAATAAACTCCTTTATAATAATAAGGGATTCTACCAATCGAAAGCTAGGCCCTATTCATTCAAGTTCCAAATTTAGGTCTGATTTCGAATTGAAGTAACACAACATCAGACTTGTTCCTCATCAAAAAAGGAAGTATGAATAACAAAAAAAAAAAAAAAAGATCGACACCATCAATTATGTCAATAATAACAAGTGAAAGGACTCCACCTACTAATACTAACACTATTGCTAGAAAAGTCTGCAAGTAACAATGCTTGTTGAAGTAACAGCAGAGACTTCTTATTCATGGGCGTAACGATATTAATTTTCGGAATTTAAGTGATTGCAGATCATGTACGCATTTAGTTACAGGGACAAAATAAGGGAGAATTGACGTATCGATCGGATCGGTAATCATTTTCCCGTTTCCTAAAAATGGAAGTAGGGACAAAAAAACGAAATGAATAGGGCCTAATTTCACACGATCCGGTATTTTACCAAATTTGGTTGACAAGTTGGCTAATAGATGTCGTACCACCTTAAGCTTAAATCCACATGATCTTAATAGGGCATGCAAATGAGAGGTTGATTATGATGTGGCTGTAAAGTTGACCAATGTGGCTGATAACGTTTTGAAAAGTAATAATGGTGCTCATTTATAACTTATCATTATGGACCTGTTAATTTAATGTTCATACCAGAATGTGATGAATATAAACCATAACAGGATTAATATATATTGATATATAATTATAATAGGACTATCCCTACATCAATATGCCTTGTGGTGTGCTACGTAAGCAAATTTGTCACCCTCCGGGACCACTACAATGCCAAGATGGCATTTTGATCATTTAAGAAGCGCCACTTAGTGTTTTTTTCCTGTGGAATATTAATAATTTTCGGGTTAATTAATTTTTTGTACTTGGATAAAATAAATCTTACCAATATTGTCTGTATAATCCTTGCGTTGAATATAGACTATGCATGCAGTCTTCATAGTCATAATACATGATCAGGTCCATACTAATACCCCACCCATCTCCATCCTATAATGAAGAATTTATTGAGTATTAGTATATGTGTCATCAATTATGACCATTGGAGAAAGTTCACAGCAGGCCATCCATCTATATGCCAGGCCACGGAGTGCTTTTAATTCAATGTACATAAGTATCCCCGATATCTTCAGGCGTATCTCTTGTATTAGCCGCAGTTTCAAAAGACACAAGCGCTCCTGTCGTTGATTCTGCAACTAGAAATAGTACGAAACCAGGAAATCTATGCATAAACGTATCAGCGTTATTTTTGATTTCTTGGTACGAACTAGACTAGATTTATCATCGCATCAAGCTTACCTTCCGCCGAACGCTCCTAGAACAAGTAAATGCTTTGAAAATTTTCGTGCATAAATATAAAGTGTATAACAAACCATAATCATCAGTAAAATTTAGCCCAATTGGATGCCTTCAGAAAATTCCAATATTCGCATCTAAAACATATAAAAACATATCAAAGCCGCACGTCGTTTATTTCGACACAAACTTCAAAAATCAATATCTCCACATATTGTAAGCGATTGGGCAATTCTATTGACGTTTCTACCAGGACTTGGTTATCCATAAATTTCAGCGTAAAATTTTCACTGATGTAGCAACTGTTATATTGATGGTTATTTTAGTTACCATTGCGGTACTCTTTACGTTACCTGTTGCTAGGTAATATCTGACGTTTTCGAAGTAAGTGCGACAAATTTCTAATATATTGAGATAAGTCTTCTGACAAAGCGGCGTATTACTGATCTCAATTATAAAAAGTTTTCTTGTTAGTACGCGTTTTTTTTTTAAGACTCGACAGGCGTTATTTCTCCACTATTTATTGCTTTCAGCTGAGCCATTAAAAATGTATCTTGTTCGGAGCTTGAAACGCTTCACTTTATCCAAACAACGCATTGCTTCTTCATATTTAGTAGAACATTGTAACTATTTTTCGTATACTCTTAACCTTATATTAATATATATATTTTTTGTATTTTGTAGGTCTTTCTGGACTTTTCTTAATACTTTATTGCGTAACTAAATATAATTCTTGCTTTGTCTGATGGTAATTTATTGATGTGAGTCAACAAATTACTTCGACCAAGCTCCTTTTCACATTCTTCTGAGAGAAAATAAAAAGCGAATACTTGTTTCTATCTAAAATAAATTTTATGTTATAAGGTGCACCAACTCTATACTCAACAAGAAAACAACCTGTCTTTAAAGTCTTTCAGCCCAAGGCGTTTTTTAAAAAATCTTCAGTAATCATGTTTATCGCGATATGCTTTATATTTACAAAGTTACTGGCTGGTTTGTCATAAAAATGCCTTTACGCTGAGTTGAAAAAATTTTAAAGTTGGAGTACTTTTTATTAAAATTAGTTCCAAGCAGCGCGCAAGCGAAACAGAAACATTATTCAAAATTCGTTAAAACGTGCGGAAAGACAAGATGGCTGATGCTGATGCCGATAATGATGTTAATGATTGAAAGAGGGTATCGATAAATGTACATGTTTTTTTTTAATTCATCTGCTTTTCGTCTACTGCTACGCCATTGAATAGTTCTTAACTTTAGAATCATAGTAGTCTCTTTTATTTTTTAACGCATCTTCTTTCCACTAACTCAGACCTCTTTTCAACGTCTTCAAATTTCCGAAATTCCTTTGCAACTAGTATCTCGCCATTCTCCATTATTCTCTGTTGATTCTTGTTGTTGATCTTGAATTTAGAAAAACAATCAATTATAATTCGCTTATTTGTAGTTGGCGTTTACTAAGACGTTCATATTATGGTCGATTATTAAAACATCAAATAGCTAAATGAATATTCGGTTTTTTCGTTACACTGCTCGAACAAATTGAAACGAATTACTATATTTTTATACAATATCCGATTACATGCTAATCATAAAAACGTCTGACGCTTTCGGTTACGAAAAGATTCATATATTGCGTTCAAATCTGGAGGAAATTAATGATAGCTTTCTGATAACACTGTTACAAGCCAATTACGAATTAAAAAAGACGAGCTCTACAAAAATAGCCCAGGGCACACAACAAATCGATTTCTACAAAACTAGCGCCCGGGCACACAACAAATTGAGCTCTACAAAACTAACCCCAACAACTGGTGTAGGCTCAGTTTCCATACGGGGCACTAGAAATTTCTGCTGAAGTATGATTGTCCTTTGTGATAACACTTTGACAACCCGAGCGTGAAAACAAAAGGTTATTTATTGATAATATCTATATCTCTATAGACTATGCGTCCGCCAGCCGACGCTATAGAACAGTGGAATTTGAGTAAATATTAGATTTGTAAAAATAAGAGTGCGTGAAGCTGCGTACACGGCCGGCTCACTGCGGCGTATGATAAAAATGATTCAGAGATGCCAACTCAATGCTTACTTATGTCTCGATCGAACATTATCGCGTGAACTTTTTTCTTCTTATCATGTGTTTGCGAAAATAAATTGACGGCACTTTTTTCTGACGCGCAGGGATTAAGTGTATGGATGAGAACGACCCAACGTCAACGTTCCATGCATTTGTCCCGCCTCGCGCATCATCTTAAACAGCAATATGATATACTCAAGGATATCAGACGAAGCCAGACCAAGTTTGTCCTCAATGGTCAGCTTCAAAGGATGGCTACTCTTATTCTGTTGAATTGAGCTCCCAGACATGGAATCCGCAAAGCGGATCGTTCGAATTATTATGCGTATTCTTCAAGAGCAAATTCATGGTCTGAAAGACAGCAGTGACATCATTGCTGACAACGAACATCGTTGCCGTGCACGATATCAACGCGACTGTTGCCATATAAACAACGATATTTCCCAAAAATATCCTCTAAACTCTGCATCGCATCTTCATATCTTCATGCCTAACTCTGAAGCGCAATTAAAACGAGCGATGTCTAGCATCAAAAAGACATGTAATGCGTTCAAGTTGAAAGGAGATTTGGCATTAGCCAACGGCGTGATCGTCTACAGACTTACAGACGACGGTTGGAAATCTCGTAGCTTAAATGTGTGGCACGAAAAAGTAAGTTCAGCTCATGAGGAGGTCTCGGAATCAAAAGACACGTTACAGCTGACTACAAGGATCCAGTTCTACCTTAGACGATTTTTTTACTTTTTCTCCTTATTATATTCTTGGTTTTCCCTGCCTGCAATCATGATTATGATCAGTTTAGTATACTTCTAGTATGTGGTTTGTTTTCCCTCTTTTCCTTGTTTAGCAATGTCGTTCAGAGTCTCCAAGTTTTATTGCTTTTTTGCTTATATTGCATTTGCATAGTATGCTGCATTCATGCCATTCTCTATCAGACGATGAATGATTACTGATGCATCCATTTCATATGATAATAATAAATGATACCTCACAGATTACTTCACTTTGTTTGGTTTTGTTGCAGCACGACCCATATTGAAAGGCTTCCGTTGCATCTAGGTTACGCTCAACGTCTAACGAAGAACTAGTGCCTTAATCGCTGAAATATCATTAATCTATACTCATTGGGTTAGACTTCTCCGAATCGTAGTAGGAATACGAGAACTATTATCGGGAATATTCGTCCAAGTGGTTATCGTGGCGACTCGTATGCGTAGCGGCTGATACAATAATTGAATGACCGGTAATCGATGATGAGAAGAACTCTCATGTTAACCCATCGCGTTCACATATTTATAGAACTGCTTGACTTACTCAAACAGGCACATAACCTTGGGATTGCTCATCGGGATATTCGTATTCTGATGACTGACTAGAATATTACTTATTGACTGGAAAATCATCGGGATATGGCTGAAAAAATGGGCACCACGGATGAGTGATATCTGTATTCTGTCTTCGGAACCAACCCGGTGCAAAAACTATCGCATAACATGGATACTGAAGACTTTGGATGAATCAAGTACTCCACACTGGATCAAATGTGAAGATTGTAAATTGATGCTCCTATTTAACTATATCTAACAGGCCAACGGAGACTCTTGTGGTTAATTTGGAGGTTCGTTCCTTACTTTTTTTAAACGTGATAGTGATTGAAGACTTGCGTTCTCACATTGTTACAAATCAATCATCCATCTTCGTATATGATATATACAACTTTTTATTCTGCATTTGCATGATAGACCAGTTTCATACGCAAAAGATATAGTTGAAACTTTTCTCCTTCTTCCCTTCATTGAGTAGGTGATCTTTTTAGACTATAATTTGGAATCCCAACACTTTGCTTTTTTCCCTTTGCAAATATAAACTCAGTCTTAAAAAAGTTCACAGAGATGATACCGTCCTTGTATTGCATTTGGCACTGTTTTGAAGGATACGTAGATAATTAGTTTATTCGAACACGTTTATTTCGTTTACGTTCAAACTAAGAAAGCGATATCGAAAAATAAAAGACCAAATTCAATAATATTTTATTGTATTACCAATCATTCGACAAAGCTTAAATGCGTTAGAATGTAGTCAACTGCACGCGCAATTTTAACATACCTTCATCCATGCAACGAGCATGCTCTTTCGGTTAAACGTAGTATTTACATTACGTAATATTAAATCATACAGATAATAAAATAGCCTTCAGCATGCTGGTTGTTCCACTAGAAGGTAAAACTCAATCGCGCAAAAGCGGGGTCAATTGTGTACAATTGTGACTCGCAATCATTCGCTATCGTCATCACTATCCTCTCCATAGCCCAAGAGAGATGCGAGGGGATTTGCCACGGATGGTGTTATCTGCTCAGTAGATGCGTCTCCCGATTTATCCTCTCTCTCAGTTTTCTTTGTGATGTCCGCATTACTGTCTTTGTTCTCGCTCCCCTTCTTATTTTCGCCTCCAACATCTTTCCTCTTCTCTCCATTATTTTTCGTGCAATCACCATCGCCTTCATTCTTATTCCCCATATCTTCAATCTTAATCTTCTTGTCCAAATGATTACTGCCAGTTTCGCTATCTCCTGATGCTTTTTTCCGAATCATTACACTCCGCCTCTTCACCGCATTTTTCAAGATATCCTTCTGTGCATCGTGTTTAATAACCTTGGGTTTATCAGGATGCTGTTTAACATGTGGTGCAGAGCCAGTTATTACTGAAACTGTACTATATGCAGCTTCATCTGCTTCTGCTGCAGCGCTGCAATCATCGGGCGAGAGAAAAAATGAACGTAAATATATACAATATTTGCAAACAAATCATCCATAATACGTATTCATCATTCATTAACACTGCACTGTCATGCTAACCGTCTGAATTCCTCGAGAAGTTCTTCTTCTTTTTTGAGCTTTACTTTTTCGTTCTTGCGCTCTTGACTCTCCAACGTAGCCAAGAATTCAATCTCGTCTTCGTCTAGTCTATGAATGAGGTTACCTAGCGTCGCGTTAAGACTAAGCAAAGCCAGGGAGTAATTACCACAACAAATGAGTTGGGTCTACGTACTAAATCTAGTCATCTCTTGAAGCGCTTCTTCCTTTTTCATTTTCTGCTCTTGTAGTCTCTCATATAACGTTCGAGGATCATATACCTCCTCCTCTTCCTTCGGAGCCTCTATCAAGAAATGCGACATTGATCGTGAATACGTTTGATAATGAGAGTCGCAAGTAACGAAAGAGTTTATTGTGTACATGTATGCAATTGTTCATTCCGTTACTGTCCACTTTTTTCCGTGGGGCATTCGTTCTTCGCGCGCACCATTGTCACGTAAAATTTACTGCTTATACATGTCTTCACAATCTATATTCTTATCAGTGCATGTACCTTTCCCCGTCTTCTCCATAACAATCTTCCATTCTTCTTGCCTTTTTCGACGAGCTTCGTCTATCTCTTCCTGGGAGACAAATTTTCGTTTTAGAGAGCCTTCTGGATCCATTTTAGGAGAGAATGTTTTTAATATTATATTTGCTTAATAGAATAATCGCGTGTAACCTTGACTATCATTTTCATACCCCTGTCACAATTTTTCTTGCTTCTTTACGTAACAGACATGTCGAGTGTTCGCTTAATTTATCGTCAACTCTTTATTCCAAAGAGTAATGACTTGATAAGGCGAACGATTATTCACAGGACGTATACAACAGAACCTCAATCTGATGGTGAAAAATACCTGCACAACAAATTGACTGAAAAGTTTCAACCAACGAGACTCAGTGTTCAAGACATCTCAGGTAGTAATTATATATCAGTGACAAGCATCTTTCATAGACATAGACAGAATATTAGTTCTGTAATTTCAGTCAGGATTTAACTGTGAGATTCTTGGTTTAACGGGATTGTTAGGTGGTTGTGGCTCCATGTATTCTATTGACATTGCATCAAAGGCTTTCGAAGGTCTCCCAATAGTTAAACAGCATCGGATGATAAATGAATATCTTGCAGAAGATATTAGAAAGATGCACGGCATTCAAGTAAGTGATGACCACATGTTACGATCTATGTAATTAGTTCGGTATTTCTTTCTCATCCTAACTACGCGATCGACAGTTGAAGACTTCTGTGGAGTGAGAGGCTTTAATACATCGACAAACAAAATGGACGTAGAACGTACACGCACAAAACCGTGAATCGGACGTTAAATCTCCCTCACCGCATTATCCACTCCAACTTTGTTTGACGCCTTATGATGTGACAATAGTGTTTATACAAGTAGTATTACTGAGATAGTATAATCACGGTGGTTCGAGTCTGTTTTTCTATTCTGATCATGACAGTCAAAAGGAACATTTCCTGCAGAGATCCATTCCAATCTAATAGAACGTTATCTGTTCACACGATATGCTTGCCTGTCTTTAACTTATGCGAGATCAAACAATTGGGATAATAATAAGCGGTTTTTTACAGCGTATAAAATACAATGCTGAATATTAATGTTTATACACTTTGTAATTTATAGCTACAGTTTATTAGGTGTCGGCTTCATGCATCATATTATTCCAAAGAATTGTTGCCAGCAATCCGATTGATTATTTTACACCAGAACAGAATGAGTTTACGTGTCATGCGTTATACCTATTCACTTCGTTTTCTGTTATTGCATGTACATCCAACAGAGCCCAAACGTGTTATTAGAATACGAGTATTCACATTACTTGCGTGAGCGCTGATGTACAAAATTATCACGTCACGTAACATCGAAGCTATGTTCGTAATGACACTTTTTTAGGCACAATACTGATACAAACGTATCACACAGGAAACACGATAAAGCGGACACGGCGTGAACATGGCTGTCCGAAAATGGGTTGTCGAGTACCTATTACAGTCAAAGCTCGAAAAACTGATATATTCATAAACGGTAGTATTTTGCTCACATTCATATCATATATAGAATTTAGACTCGATAAATACAAATAACAAAGTTTTGCCTGTGACACAATATCTGAGATTTAATTTCAATTAGCGTTGGTAGATGAAGGAAAACTTTCGTCATTGTTATCAGAAATTTCTTTAGTTTTTTTCTTCAAAAAAATTTTATTTAAAATATTTCATATGTTAAAGGTTAGTGCGTCAAAATATTTTAGTGTTAGTGACAATGTTTTAAGTTTTAGCGACAGCTGCTTACTTACATAAATTGGCGTAAACTTTACATTTATGAATAAGATTCTACCACGAATAAAGCCCCCATATGAAAGAATGGCGATTATGAATAAACCTGTAATGTTGGACCCATACACTTCTCATAAAGAATTTGATAATTTAATAGGTTGGTTGCATATTGTTTATTTAATTTAAGAATTTGAATAATCCAGATTAAACCAGTTACCAATTTATTTTATTTTTATAATTATAAAAGTTAGTTTTCCATGTTTTGATTTTCTTTTCTAAATATAGACCTAAATTTATATAATTTGGGGCATGCTGCAACAAAACCAGACAAAGTGAATATTCTATACATGAGGCTGATTGTGATGTGGCTGTAAAATTGAAACAAATGAGTTTTCATGCTTGATTGTTTGACTGTAATGTTGCCAGTGCATGTATAACTGGAACTGCATTTATTATTGGCAATCAATGACTATGACTATTTCAAATAAACAAAGAGTTTATTACAACACAGTGTATTTTAGTAGTTTTAAACTAACTATCAAACTGACTTAGTGTTGGTAGTGTTAACATGTTTTCTTTTGGGTGTGAAATATGTAGGTTTTAACCATTTTGTTTTAAAGTGAGTTTTTTTTGACATACTTTCCAAACTATTATGAAATACTTTTGTATAAACATGGTTTTGCTTTTCAGGATCAGGCAAAATGCTTGCTTTTTGGATAATGTTTTTCTAATTAAAGCAAAAAAAAATTAAAATAAAATAAAATAAATAAATATTAAACACAATCAATAATAATAAAGCTTTAATTTCTTATCTCACCTTGAAAAAATACAATGTTTCAAGAGTTTGACGAAGACATTTAATGTTTGTAATTTGCTTAGGAAGCCTAAATGTAGGTCCTTCTAGACCAAAGTAAAGACTTTTGTCCAGAAGGTCTATTCCAATTACCTGACCATCAAGGCCTACATAGTAACCAAATTGCAAAAATATTAATATCCATCTTGATTTCACAACATCATAACAAATGTAAACAACTGTACCAGAAAATTGTAGACCAAATGTAACTGAATTTCTTGCATCGTTATCAGAAATAATTTTCATAAGATAGCTGTCAAGTGTAGATTTTAACACTCGCAGACACTTTGATCGATCTTGTACAGCTTTTCCAGCAAAAGAAAATCTTGCACACTCAATATGACCCAATTCGATGTTGTTGGCACGGTGAACAATCCGTACATCAATTTTGCGTCGCCGTTCTGCAATGCTTGTTGATGCTGTTTCACCCCTAGAAACATACATATAGAGTTTGAATTACTTGCAAAAACATTATATAGGCATACTAAAACAAAAGAATCAATAAAAAACAGTAAAAAAAATGTATATAAAAAAAAACACTAAATAACTAGTCAGCACTTTTTAAACAGCAAATAATATTTACCATTTTAGTTCTATAATGTCCTTCAAATCACTGAAGATGTCATCAAGAAGTGGTCCAATGGCCTGCATGCCATAGTCAATCTCTGAAAGATTTCTATGCTTGCCATTTTCATCTACAAAGACAAATGGGTTCTCAAGAAATTTATCAATGCTAAAAATAATAGAATAGAATCATTATAATTTGTATCATGTACATGATAAAAATCAAAAAAGTAATATAACAGTTACACATGAAAGTAGATTGTTGCCACTTGTTTGACCATAGGAGCATGATCACTGGTTCGTATATTATACAAATGATTTCTTAAATCAAAATAGCGATGTGCATTGCACATCTAGAAAGAGACATAACAATAAGTATGCTAGTGATATTAAAATCAAAAGAATAAACTATTTACTCACATTGTCAATTGTATCCACAAGGGCTTTTACCTCATCTTGAAAGGAGACTGGGGTCATATTAACCTGCTTGTATACCCTTTCTTTGATATCATCCCAATCATCACCAAACCATTGGCACATTCCATCTTTAAACTCTGAAGATAAATCAAGGACTGAAGACAGCCCTAAGCTACATTGGATGTGGATGTTAGGTGTTTAAAAATACTAGAATGCAATATTACTATTAGTATATACCGGATGACACTCTTGGTGTATTGAGTCAGCTCCTTTTTGCTCTTCATAGATATGCACTTCACAGTTTTCGCAGTATTCTCAGCAAGCACATCAATGATTCGACGGCCATCCTTTAATTTCCAGACAGATTTCTCCTCTATATCATTTACATAGTCACCAAAGGCCATTGTTTCAGTATTGAAACTGTTGGTAATCTCTTCATCATCTGATGACTCAAACTGGTCATCATGATCTTCATGCTTAAAATTTCAATTGAGGTTCAATGATTTAGAATAGCATAATTGCTCTAGTTGGTCTAACAGATGCAACCTACTTCTTGATCAGTAAGAGTTTCAGGAGTGAGGCTCCCGCGTTTTGACTCATAACTGTCTTCATCAGTAAGAGGTCCAGGAGTGAGGTCCCCATGCTCTAACTCATAACTGCCTTTATCAGTTTTTTGATCAAGGTACTAAAAAGTTGTTATGTTTATGAAAAACTGTCAATATGTTATATACATAAAGGCAAATCTAGTTTACTTACATCAAGAAGTTTCCCTCGGATAGTACTATGCCCTTTTCTCCTTTTTCTAGGCAACTCGGACACTATGTTTGCATTTCCATCATTTATTCCAAACACAGAACTCTTAGTGATCAATGGTTGATGGAAATGTACTGAATGTCCTTTGTTTTTCTTTGCAGCAGATTCATGGTCATCTTTCCACCTTTTTGCTAGTCTCTTATCGGGACAGGTGCCCTAGCATAAAAATATTCAGAGATTAGCAATGTTATTCTGAGATGCACAATGCAATATATGGAACATCTCTACCCACAGAGTCAGCTTAAAGCTTTGAATGACAGACAATCTCAAGGGTCATCTGCACCCCGTGGGGCTGGGTTGGGTCAGCTTAAAGCTTTGAACACAGACGATCTCAAGGGTCATTTGGGCCCCAACATCCAGCTTCGTGGCTCAGCTTAAAGCTTTGAATGAATAGAAATCTCAAGGGTCCCTATCACGCCACCTATTTTTTATATTTCTTGACATCAAGCAAAAGCTCTGATACTTGCCTCTCTGTATCTATTTAGTAGTCTCTGGGCTTGCTCTTTCCTAACACCTTCTCCACTCTTTGCAATGCTTTTGAGAGATCTAATATAAATCCCTATCTTATGATCGAATCCTTCTGCATCGCACTCGTTCAAAAAATCTTCAATCTTCCATTCTGAAGATTTACGATCAAAGTACCGGTGCTCATACTCCTCCGTCATGATCTGGAGGAAGTAATGTTGAGTTGTAAGCATTACGGGCATATTCGCTAAGATAAAAGCATTGGAGCACAATAGCGTCGTTCGTACACCCCGCGAATACTAACAGTAAGTTATGGCCGTTGCCAAGGCTACGTACGTCGTTTAATTGAGAGATTTCAAGTCGAAGGCTGCGTTGAACATGAATTACTCCTTGCAAATCAGTCAAGACACAACTACACGCTGACGTGTTCAATCTCTAGACAGGAACGAAGAAAAGTACATACCTGTCGGTTGGTGATTGCACCACGATGCTCGTCACCACAAGTACGCGACTAGGCGCAGCAAAAGTTTCGTTTTTGATAGATCGGCGGTTGCGTTTTTGATAGATCAGCAAGTACCCCAAATTTAGTTGATATCCGCAGTAAAGTCATGTTTTCACTATAAGGGTCTTCGGAATAACAGGGTACCTCCATTAATATTAAAACAGAAGATTGTAGTTATACTTCGGATACATAAGATTAAGAAGAAATGCACAATTAGCACAAAGAGCAATAGCTATATGTGAGATCATGGATAGATGATAAAAGCAAGAATACATTCACAAAGTAAAAGATGCTCAGTGATAGGACGGAATGACGCGGGAGAAATTGTCCTATTGATGCAGTTCAATAGCATATATGTTCTGGGAATGCGACAAATGATTATCTAGCAAGCTAATCAATAAAATCTTCTTTTGCAAAAGTTTTTATTACCCACATATACTATACAAGCTATGGTAATATTAACGTAGAATGTGGGAAATTAGTTCTTCAAACATAATGATAACCTATTCAGTTCATTCTGATTACTCTCCAGAATGTAGGTATCTTGGTTGTTTATTTTTCGCTGAGGATTAGGTTTGTGATTAAAACTTTAGTTTATATCGATAAGTGACAAAGTCGTAAAAATTATATATATAGGAATACCCGTATATGGAAAATTATAATTATAACGGTTCTACCGAATACGAAAAAGCAATGCGTTTCTTTGAGATAGGTTGCAATTGTAGTTGTTCAACAATGATTCCAAGGGAAAAGTTTGCTGAATTACGTGAAGCGTTTCAAGCCCTCTCTAGATCCGAACAAGACGTATTTTTAATGGCCCAGCTGAAAGCGATGAATGGTGGAGAAATAACTGCCAGTCGACGTCTTAAAAAGAAAACGCGCACTAATAAGAGAACATTTTACTACTGAGATCGTAATACGCCACTTTGCCAGAAAACGTATCTCAATATGTTAGGAATTGGCCGCACACACTTCGAAAATGTCAGAAACCATCTAGCAACGAATGGTATCATACCGCGCGTTCATGGTAACATAAAACGAAT